CAACTGCATATGAAAGAAGGGGGGAGGACTTTACTTCTCTTCCCTTCTGTGTCAAAGGACTTTTTTTTAAGAGAGGGGAAGATGAAGAGATGTTTATTTTGATTGCTAAAAAGTGTCCGGTAAATCGACCCTTTCGGAAAAGGACGTTACACTGTACTGAAACTATAAATACTGCTGAAAAAGATAGAAAATTAGAGTCTTTTTTTTATTTTTTTGTGTAAATTTATTACCAAAATGGTCCATGTGATCTAAGAAAACTGAAATATCTCATCTTGTCTCTTTCTTTTCTTATAAATAATAAAAATGTAAATATGTTAAATAAAATACGCATAAAAATTATTCCGACCACCATTTTTATTTCTTCAAGATATGAATACTAGTTGTCAATCAATTGTATAATTTAATCAATGTAAGATAGATACTCTAATATTTTTTTAATGTATCTTTCATCTCAGAAATCCAAACTGATAGTAAAAAAGTTTTTTTTTTTGTTTAGCAAACGTTTTATGGTTTTTTCTTACCTTTCTGTAAAAGTTCAACTACAATTTAAAATGTTAAAAAATATATGTTCCACGAAATTGATCTTATTCATCATTGTTTTGTCACATAGGATTACATGACATTAGACGTAGAGGTTGGGCAGCTCCAAAGAGCAGGACATATCGACCAGAGGTCTATTGTACCCAAACCCTAAATCATGATTAACAAAAACTTTATAGCTGAAACAAAGTTCAGTAAACACCTGACAGGAATATCTTGTAATTCTAAGGCTTTAATGCAATGTTGCCCTAAATGCTCATATCTTTGAATAGAATAGACTTTACAATTGCAAACTATATCTCGTGAAGTCTCTTCCTCAAGAAGACAAAAAGAATCGGATTCAATACCCTTTATGTATAGGTGTCTCCTGAGGGTACAGTGTCTTGTGAGAAGACCAATGATCTTCTTCAAACTGTTCTTGTTTAGCTTAAGAAGCTCTTTATGACACATACTTGGACAGTCATGATTTCTCTGACCATCCGAGTTGTGTTGGGCAATAGAGCCATAGGATGCCATAGAGCTTGAATGTAGATGCCCTGAATAATGTGGGAGAGATTCCCAAAGCTGGTTCAGGGCCCCAGAAAATCACACTGGAGTCTCACTCTTGCTGCTTGGTCAGCCACCTTGTTAGGAGTAGAGGGGTCACAGAGAGCCGAGAAGCACTCACACACTAGTGAAGAGGTGAATTTACTACTTGATAGTGATAGAAAAGCAGTCTGACTGTCAGAACAGATGTGGATAGGTATTATTAGATAACCCCTGACTAAGCATATACTGCAGCACAAGATGATAGCATAGACCTCAACCAGAAAAATAGTGGCATAAGTACCTAAAGGAAAGTGGAGTTTGGTCACTATCATTGGAGCAGCCCTTGATTTAAGACCTAGCCTTGATCCATCGGTGTACCATACCAGATAGTTGCCTTTAAGCTACCGAGGAGAATTAAGTCATTCATATTCAGTAGAAAGTATTCAGTAGATCTTGAAGGGCTTATGAAAATCCTACCTTAGTGACATAATCACTAGGCATAATAAAAGGAATATCTGATACCTGCGAAACAAGATAATCCCAGGACAAGTGCTTAGATTATTCCTTCCATAAACCAAGGCACATAAGACGCTTAATACCTGCTTGAGCTTCCGCTTTAATGCGTAGATTCAACGGGAGAAGCCCAAGCTCTTGAGAACAGCTGTGGGAGTGGCCATAAGACAGCCTGACAATAGCGCCATATGTGATAATAGGACTAATAATCATTGAGTAATTCCAGCAAACTATCTTGAGGCATAATCCCCAGGTTTTACCCTTAGCATTTCTACAAGACCAGAATATCTTCTTGGCCCTGCAGACACAGTATTCTGAATGTTGACCACAGTTAAGTTTGGAGAAACTTTACTTTGGGTGGTTGATACTATGGAATCCGATATCAGAGTTAATGGCTGGCAATCCAGGTCAAAAATTAAGTAGGCCTGAAGAAATCTTCTGCAGAAGTCCTTAGATCACCCTAACCTGTTATACCAAATGTGATGTTGAAATCATATATGAATCCTTGAATTGATAATTTCTTTGATAGTCATGCTAATGAACACCTGTTTATGTTCTTTTTTATTTAACCAAAATATTTATAATTTTTGCATTTGATTTAAATCAACACCCATTCATTTTAAAGAAAAATGATTTTTGAATCTGAATTTTCAACAAATAAAATTACCGCATTCTATTTTGTTTGATAAATTTTATTTGAATTAATGTTGAAATTATTTCAGTATTTATTAAAATAAAAATGATTGAAGTTTTACTTAACAATTACGATCCACAACATTGATATCTATCTAATAAAATTATCAGGATTTTGTAACAGATACCAAGAAATTGTTATTGGCTTAATAGATGAAAATTTGGAAACCAAGAGTATTTACGATATAGCTTTGTGTATAACCATTCATACCGTTGTTTTAACCCTTAACAAGCAAAACATTTTCTGCTATTTTATTTGCTCATGATTTAGTGGTTCAAAAGGATAAAGTGGTGGTTTAAATCAATTTTTCTTTTTCCAGATATTAAGTAGTACTTATTAGTTTCTCTGGAGAAAAGAAAATTGTTGCTGTTGGCTAACTTTAAAGCCCTAGATTGCTTAGTAAAGAAAGCTGCCATTTTTTAGATTGGTTTTATATATATACACGTTATCGAGATTGACCTAAATCAAGAGAAAGTCAGCTTTCACCAGTGAATGTCAACAATCACATAGCTGATTTGATATTTATTAAGTGATGCTATATTTATTCGATATTTTAATATCTGCTGAGGATAGATTAGGAGAAACATTAGTGTTCGGAGTACTGGTTAAATACATACAGGGCAGTGGCACTAGATCTTAAAAAATATTGGTGTAGGGCATACTGGGCAGTGGCACTTCACTAGACCTAATATAGATTTCGGACATTAACCAAAGCATCATTAGTGGAGATCGACAACCAATTTCGGTCATTTGTAGTAACATATATATATATATCTTCCTTTAATTATTCTAGAATATTCAAACTGGGTCCGGTATTATATTATAATTTACTATACCGCATACCAAAGAAATAATTATAGACAAATAAGGAGGCCTACAATGTGGCACAATATTTAACTTCACTAGAAAATGAAGATATGTTGCCGATATTCTGTATATATCAATTTATAGCCTCCCTTAATATTAACGAATAATTTTCAAACTTTTTCAGGTATATTATAATCTACTATACTAACATATCAAAGGAAATACTTAGACAAATTAGGAGACCCACAATGTGGCACAATATTTAACTATGTATGTCTATATTTTTAAGGGCTTATAATAACGTTAAAAATGGAGAAATTGTTGCTCATATACTGCATATATAAATATGGCCCTAGCATCCACTAATATCAGCCTATAATTTACAATCTCAGTTAGGTATTAGATTAAAAGATAATATATTACCAAAACAAAACATTGGCCCAATAGAGTTCCATTGAAAAAAATTACAAACTCAAAAAGCTTGTTATAATTCCGCTAGACAAATTTGACCGGTAGGGTTAAGTGATATTATATATACAGTAGTATTCCAATCCTACATAAGAAACATTGATCCTCAGTTATGCCTATTAACCTTCTCAATTTTGAGCTTAATACTTTCTTTGATTTCAATTTTCACCAATACCATTTCTCTATCTACAATGCTACTAATATCCCAGTCTGTCTCACCAAAAGCTTTCTGGGCTTCTCAATACGTGGCCTCTCTTATTTCTATATTTTCTTCCTAATTCGCAACTGCTTTTGCTCTACACATATTAGGCAGCACTTTATCAAACTATTTTACGGTAAAAAATTTTTCGAGTCTCATACATTTTTGGACTTCATTGGCATTGTTTGGCATAATGCCAAGTCTAAGCCTTATATGTAAATGCACATTTAATGTTGCTATTAAAATATTCTGATTTTTGAACAGTGAAACATTTTTGGTTTTTCAAAACTTCATTGACATAGAAAACATCACCCATGCTTCATTTCATTGATATATTTGAAAATTAAAAAAAAATATAGCTGAAATGTTAAAAAAAAAAAAAAGGGTTTAACATGTTGAAAATTATTTATTAAGTGCAAAGTCTTAAATTCCTTAAGCATTCATTAAAAACATCAATAAACCAAGGGTCAGACTCAAGTAGTAGAAGTCCATATTTAATATTCAAAAAATAAAATGATTAAGTCAAGACAATAAAATATTTATTCAAAATATAACGAACAATAAAATGGGATAGAGCTTATTAAAAAAATATCTTTTGAAACAATTTTACCATGGGATTTTATTACTTCACAAGTAGTGAAACTACTGTAGTTGCTAACTATTCCTGGCAACTATTTTTGGCGTTAGTTTAGTAAAGAAACATGACTGTAAAGCAGCCAATTTTTCAAAACCTTCCTAAACTCGTCAATAGAGGCGATGAAAATGTCTCTGTGCTAGCTCATGTAAGCATGAATAAATATTTCTTAATTATTCCCTTATATTTAATGTGATCCAATTTCTTTTTCAAAACTATTATGAACAACGGCGTAAATTAAACTCCCCAGCATAGTTCCTCTCCTTAAAGTAGTGACTACAATTCTACAGTAGTTTGAATTCACTACATTTAAGAAAAGTAGCTGTAGTAAACTACAAAAATAATGTAGTATTTTCTGACCACTGAAACATTACACAGCTTTATAAGTTTGGAAGAATTAAATACTGAAAAAAAAAATTGTAAAAACTCATTTACGAAAAATATATAAAGTGGCATTTTTATACAATGATTTGCAGTGTTAAAATGTTATTTTATTACGTTTTATATTATCATAATAAATTTGTTATTTTTTTCAAAAACTTGAAGGTTAAAAAAAGCGAATATATTTTTTATAGTTCTGGGATTTATGCTAAATAATATTGAAGAATACATCACAATAATTTTAAACATATTTTATTTATTTAGCTGCACAAAAACTACAAATCAAAGAGTAAATAGCTATATGTTTAAAACTCTAAAACTGACAATAGCTCTTAAATTAACCAACAAATGCATGTGTCATTGCAATAATGACTTATGACTGTTATAACAGCTAAATATATATAATAAATTATAGAAATGACAGACTTTATCAAACCTTTAAGTATTGAAACTTATTTTTAATCACAAAATAAATATTTTAGAAAACTATTTTTTTCGTTATCATTTTTAACTACAAGCTGAATGAATAGTAATTGAATGAATGAATAGTACCAAAACATAATTGATAATTGAAAAAATTAAATAATATAAGAATGTGACATTAATAATGCAATGTTTACTGATTTTCAAGCATAGTACCATAAAATGAAATTAAAATAAAGCTTTTAGGTGATATTATTACAATAACAGAACAATATTTAGCTGCATAAAAAGACTACAAATAAAAAAAAATAGCTTAATGTTTAAAACTCTAAAAATGACAATAGCTCTTCAATTAATACAATACAATAATTTATAAATTTTTTTTTTAAATTATGATTTATAAATATAAATAGTTATGACAGCTAAATAAATAAAAAATTATGGAACTTACTAACTCTTAAAACATTTGAAACACAAATCAAATTTTTAATCTATCGTTAAGTAAAAATGAATTCTTTCAATGTTATAACCACTAACTGAATAAATCGAAAATAACACTAAAATACAATATTTTAGTATTTGCAAATGGATGAACATTGCATTGAACAATACAATTAACTTAACAAGATTTAAAAATATGACTATCAGTTAAATAAATATGATGTAAACTATTTCCTCTCCTGATAAAAATACATGAAATAGTTCATGCAAGAATGAAGAAAAAGAGGATCTCGGTCCATATATATATATAAATAAAAAAGTACAATCAAGATGCACGAGAGCATATAAATATTTCAGGAATGTTAAAACAAAATGAACAGATTTAAACATAGGCAACAGGCATTTAAGAAAATATTTTTAAAAAAGTGAATGCAGTACTTTTTAATTTATATCTTGAGACCTTTATTCTATGAGGTATTTAATAAAGTAGATATTGTATCAAAATGTCATTTTTTGTAACAAAGAAATATTAGAGAAAAATTTGGCTTCATAGTTCATTCTAACATGTTTAATTTTATTCTTATATTCATGAATTGAAAATAAGGCATTAAAATAATTTTTAAGAAATAATGATAAAGCTTGACCAGGGAAAAAAATATAGAATCTTTAAGGAACAAGAGAATATTTTGTTATACAATAACAAAAAAAGCATATCCAGGTTAAAATTAATTGTTATTAAAATAACTATTCACTATATATTTTCAAAAAGTACAATGATATTTATGCAAATGATAGTATATAATGATGTTTATGTTCATGAAAAGGCAGTCTCAATTAAAAAAAATATATTTTTACAAAGTTCTACTGACTAATGAAAACAACAAAACTGCTTTAAGAAATTACATCACAATCATCTATAAGGCACTCTTTTACGTAAAATACATTAATAAAATGTATAGAAAAATATAATTATTTCGTCGAAGCCTAAAAAATAATATAGATATAATCAACACAAATTTAAGAGTTTTAAAAGAGAAGAAAAGAAAAAAATTAATGACACAATATGTTGAATAAATAAAAATTAAAATATTTTTAGGAAAGTAGAAACATTAAGAAATACTACAAATAAAGTAAATGAATGAAACACTGAAGAAGTTAATGATAATAGAAATATGAAAGTAATAATGCACACTATATTTCACAATTTATGAGTAGGTTTATGACAGGACAAACAAGAGGTCAATAACTGTAGAAACACAGAACATTTAAAAAAAATTATATTCCTTAGCTTTGAAATAAAAAAATTAAATTGCTATTGGAATAGCAATTAATTATGAACCCCCAACAAAGAGTGTTCACAAGCAACTGATAGCTACATTAATTAACAACATTAAGTAGAAAATGTGCAAATAAAAATTTTACGACAAAATTTCTCTAATTGTAGATATACTTTACTTTATTCGGGTAAATGAGACAAGAAAATTTAAGATGCCATGTTCTAATAGTTAAAATAGCATTTTTCTTCAATTAAATCGATATGATGGTGAAGTAAATTTTGATGCAGGTTAGGAATAAAAGTATTTGGCATTGTACATATATTTTGGGGAAAAAACAACAGCAACAATCACCAATAACTAGATCAGGGATCCCACAAGTTCTCAGAAATTTCAAAGATCTGCAGGAACTCTGTACTGGTTTACAGACAACTGCAGGTAATTGCCATACTAAGAATACAATACAGTATCACCATATTAAGAATAATGAGGCAAATATTTTTCCTAGATGTGGCAATGAAAAACATAGTATACGATAAGTAGCAGTTTACTTTCAGCATATTAGAAGCTTGCTTCAAAATTTTGAAATATAATTTTTTAATCCAAAACAACAAAAAAAAAAGAAAATAATGGAAAGGAATGGCTCTTTAAAATATCACAATTCACATTTGTAAAGATACATACTCCTCGAAAGAAATACTTTGCAAATTCAAATGCATGAGGTAAAGTTGGCTGGAAATAACCCTTTCTTTCCATTAAAAATCCCTATCAACCACATAGCTGCCAACATGGATAGGAAAAAATCCAGTAGATTTTAAGAAGTAATTTAAATTTCATGATAATTGTTACAAAATTACTAAATATTTCACACATAGGGAATTTCATAGTCATCAAAAAAGAAAAACTGCAATATTTTCCAGTTATGATGACATTAAATGATCCTAAAATGTTATATATTATATTTATTTATAATTTTGAACAGTAATAGGCCTTTCATTCATTGAAGATAGTTAACTGAATTTTATAAATGAGCCTTGCTTTATGTATCAGTGACACTTACTTAAATATTCAAGCAAGCAATAATCTGCACAAAAATTCTACTTCAATAGGGATTTTTTAAGGACACTTACTCAATTTTAGGGAATTTACTAAAATATACAAAATTTAAGTGAAATTTTATGAAACCAATAGACCAGGAGAAACCGGCAAAACCCTGTAGTCTACTGGAAAATCCAGTAGAATTGGCAGCTATGTATAAATAATCATAAATTAATTCAGTAGAAAATTTAGGATGCCATGTTCTTATAGCTAAAATAGCATTTTTACTTCAAATAAATTGATATGATGGTGAAGTAAATTTTAATTCAGGATAGGAATAAAAAAATTTGGCATTGTACATTTATTTCAGGGAAAAAATAACAACAAACGCCAAAAACTAGATCAGGGATCCCACAAGTTCTCAGAAATTTCTAAGATCTGCAGGAACTGTGCACCGGTTTACATACAACTGTAGGTAATTAGGCCAATATTGCCATATTAAGAATAATGAGGCAAATATTTTTCCTACATTTGGCAATGAAAAAACATAGTATACGATAAGTAGCAGCTTCCTTTCAGCATATTAGAAGTTTGCTACAAAATTTTGAAATAAATAATTTTTTAATTCAGAACAAAAGAAAAATAAAGAAAAGGAATGGCTCTTCAAAATATCACAATTCACATTTGTAAAGATATTACAAACTTCTCGAAAGAAATGCTTTGCAAATTCAAATGCGTGAGGTAAAGTTGGCTGGAAATAACCCTTTCTTTCCATTAAAAATCCCCATCAACCATCCATCTTCCTATAAATAATCATAAAAAATTAAATTTTCTTCAAAATTATAAAACAGTTTCAATGCGATTTCAATATAAATAAAGAGTCTAGTTAGTATTTTAAGTCTAGAATAAATAATATTCACAAGTAAAAATATTCTAAATGTTAATTATTCACAGCTTTATTTTCTATTAAAGTACTAATTAGTGTATGGGTAGAATACATTAATGTATGGACAGAGCAAAATGTCTAGCTGCTATGTCTATGCATAGTTTTTAGATATCAGGCATTAGAAATTAATATTTTATCAGTGTACAGTGCACCAAAAAAGGACCACCCTTAATAACTTTTGATCTAATATCAGATCTTCACGTTATAAGAGTCATTCCTAATGGTATGAGGGGGTGCTTTCAAATATGCTAATTAATCATTGCAGACGATATTTAAAGTTATGAAATCAGACTAAAAAAAATGCACTTCGTCAAAATAAACATGGATTTCAGATCCTAATGGTCCCCATAGTTTGACGATCAGGAGAGTGGTTCACTGTTTGAATCCCTTAAAATTAATTTTACTTTTTGCGTATTTCGCCATATCTCGCAAACTTTTTAAACAATTTGGATATAAGCTCAGTTAATTTTGGTGAGATCACACAATGTCCCATTGAATAACAATTTCTTAAAATGAATTGATAAATTTCAAGAATAATACTAATATTTAAAATCATTTACTAATCCTATAATAAATAATTATTCTTAAAATTAAATAATTGTTTTAATATTTCAACTGATTTCTGGATAATCGAGCTTTCACTACAGTGTAAACATTTTAATTATTTTCCTAATTTAAAATTTTTGTATTTTTAAGAAGTTACTTTGAGAGCTTGTTATTTAGACATGTTAAAATTTGAATAATAAAATGTCATACTTGCTCTTCAGGATCATCATAAGCCACAACATCAATAACATCTCCCACATTGAAAGATAACTCATCAACATCTTCAGCCGTATACTTATAAGTTCCTTTAACCTAAAGTAAATATATAAATACTATTGAATATCAGATTTTACATAATACCTTTTTGTTATAAGTCAAGACTTTACTTACTCTATAAAGAACATTGTCAGATGTGGGGGAATCTAATGCTATTTTATAAATAGTCTTTAATTTATTTTCAGGCACAGGATCTGACTTTTCATCCTGCAAGTTAAACAAAAACAAACTTTAATGTAAAACATCTAACAAATTTCTTTTCTAAAAGAAAAGTTAAGTCACTTTTAGAGCAGTTAAATAAAATAAAAAATTATAATACCCCATAAGGAACATTGTCAGGACAAGAGGTATCAACAGAAGCAGGAAAATCTAGAGAGGTAGTGCTATCTACAGAGCAAGGGTAATCTAGAAGGGAAGGGCTATCTACTCCCGCGTTATAAATACTCCTTAATTTATATTCAGGCTTAGGACTAGATTTTTCCTCCTATAAGTTAAAAATTAAAAGACATTAGTTTATAAATATCTAATAAATTTCTCTTTTTTTTAAAAGAAAACTTAGCTGATTTTACTGAAATATTATAATACCCCATCAAGAGCTTTATCAGGACTAGAAGCCTCTACAGAGTCAGAGCAAGCAAAAGCATTAGCACTATCTAACATTTTATTGAGAGTCATTAATTGTAACTCTCCTGTGTTCCTCTTAGTAGGAACAGTATTCTTGCCCTATAAATTAAAAGATATTAGTTTATAAATATCTAATAAATTTCTTATTTAAGGACAACTTAACTGATTTTACTGAAATATTATAATACCCCATCAAGAACTTTATCAGGACTAGAAGCCTCTACAGAGCCAGAGCAAGCAAAAGCATTAGCACTATCTAGCATTTTATTGAGAGTCATTAAATGTAATTCTCCTGCGTTCCTCTTAGTAGGAACAGTATTCTTGCCCTATAAGTTAAAAATGAAGAGGAAACAAATTAGTTTATAAATATCTAACAAATTGCTTTTCTAAAGTAAATTTAGCTAATTTTACAGAAATATTATTATACCCCAAAAACATTATCAGAACTAGAAGCAGAGGTAGTTAAGGATGTTGTACTATCTACAGCCGATTCTATAGAGTAAGTATGGCAAGAGGAAGGACTATCTTCCACTTTGTCATGAGACACTAATAGAGGTTTAGGCTCAAGCGGAACAATCTTTTCTGTCTATAAGTTAAAAAATTAAGAGAACAGAAATTAGTTAATAAACATCTAGCAAGTTTCTTTTCTTAAGTAAATTTAATACATTTTACTGAAACATTATTATACCCCAAAAAAATCACTTTCAGGATTAGAGTCAGAAGTAGTTAAAGATGTTGCACTATCAGGATAAGAGTCAGAAGTAGTTAAAGATGTTGCACTATCTACAGCGGATTCTATGGTGTAAGTACGGCAAGAGGAAGGACTATCTTCCATTTTTTCAAGCGACTCTAATTGTTCTGTTTCTCGGCTAACTTTAGAAGGAAAACTTTTGTCACCCTATAAGTTAAAAATTAAAAGGAAAGAAATTAGTTTATAAATACCGAGCGAAATTCTTCTATAAAAGCAAATTTAGCTGATTATACTAAAATAAAATAATACCCCAGAAATGACATTATCAGGACTAGAAGAGAGTATAGAGGTAATGGAGGCTAAAGCAGTAGAACTATCTACAGGAGAATCCATAGACAAACGAGAGGAAGGACTATCTTGCATTTTAAAAAGATCTATAAAGCGATTGCGATTAAGGAATTTAAATTTTCTTGGGCTTCTTTTAGCAACAGTATTTCCACCCTGCAAATTAAAAATAAAGAGGGCAAAAATTAGTTGAAACAATTTACTATCCTAAAAGTAAATTTAGCCGATTTAACTAATATAAAAATAATACCGCAGTCTCAGGGCTATCTTCTCTTTTATAAAGAGTCACTAACATTGGTCTAGGCTCAATATTTTCATTCTATAAGATAAAATATCAAGAGAACAGAAATTAGTTTATAAAAATCTAACAAATTTGTTTTCTTAAGTAAATTTAGTAAATTTTACTGAAACATTATACCACATAAAAATCACTATCAGGATTAGAGTCAGAGGAAGTTAAAGATGTTGCGCTATCTACAGCGGAATCTATAGTGCAAGTACGGCACCAGGAAGGGCTATCTTCCTTTTTAGAAAGAGTCACTAATAGAGGTTTAGGCTCAAACGGAACAATATTTTCTTTCTATAAGTTAAAAGAACAGAAATTAGTTTAAAACATTTAACAAATTTCTTTTCTTAAGTATATTTTACTGAAACATTATTATACCCCATAAAAATCACTATCAGGATTAGAGTCAGAGGTAGTTAAAGATGTTGCACTAGGATTAGAGTCAGAAGTAGTTAAAGATGTTGCACTATCTACTGCGGATTCTATAGTGTAAGTACGGCAAGAGGAAGGACTATCTTCCATTTTGTCAAGAGACGCTAATTGTTCTGTTTCTTGGTTAACTTTAGGAGGGAAAACTTTGTCATCCTATAAGTTGAAATTAAAAGGAAAGAAATTAGTTTATAAATATCTAGCAAATTTCTTTACTAAAAGTAAATTCAGCTGATTGTACAAAAATGAAATAATACCGCATAAAGAACATTATCAGGACTAGAAGCATCTACAAAGGCAGAGCAAGCTAAAGCAGTAGCACCATCGACAGAGGAATCTAAAGAATAAGTTCGGCAAGAGGAAGGACTATCTTCTATTTTATTAAGAATCACTAATTGTTTTGTTCCACTGTTGCTCTTAAAAGGAACATTATTTTCACCCTATAAGTTAAAAATTAAGAGGCAATAATTAGTTTAAACAATTTGCTTTCTTAAAAGTAATTTAGCCTATTTAACTAATATAAAAATAATACCATATAAAGAGCATTGTCAGTACTATCTTCCTGTTTATAAAAAGTCACTAATTGTGGTTTAGGCTTAAGCGGAACAATTTTTTCTTTCTATAAGTTCAAAAAATAAAAAAACAGAAATCAGTTAATAAATATCTAAAAAAATTCTTTTCTAAAGTAAGTTTTTACTGAAACATTATATCATATAAAAAACACTTTAAAGATTAGAGACAAAGGTAGTTAAAGATGTTGCACTAGCTATAGCGGATACTATAGTGTAAGCATCACAAGAGGAAGGACTATCTTTCATTTTGTGAAGAGACACTAATTGTCCTGTTTCTTGGCTAACTTAAGAAGGAAAAACTTTGTCATCCTATAATTTAAAAATTAAAAAGAAATTGTATAATTATCTAGCAAATTCCTTTTGGAAAAGTAAATTTAGTTGATTGTATTAAAATAAAATAATACCCCCATAAAGAGCATTATCAAGACTAGAAGTATCTACAAAGGCAGAGCAAGCTAAAGCAGTAGCACCATTGACAGAAGAATCTACAGAATAAGTCAGGCAAGAGGAAGGACTATCTTCTATTTTATTAAGAATCACTTATTGTTTTTGTTCCACTGTTTCTCATAAGAGAAACATTTTCACCCTATAAGTTAAAAAGTAATTATATAGAGAATAATGTATACTTAATCAGTGATGGTGTGGGGCGCTATATCTGCCCGTGGATTGGGGCCTCTCGTTGTCTTGAGGGGGGGTGGTCAAAGGGGACCATTACCGAAGCATTCTTGCAGATCATCTTCACTCTATGCTTCATACTCTTTCCGGGAGAACGTCCTGTGTTCCAAGATGACAACGCCATTGTTCACACATCTCACTGTGTTCAAACATGGTTAAATGAGCATAATGATGAAGTGGACCTTCTAACGTGATGTCCTCAGTCCACTGATCTCAATATCATTGAGCCTTTGTGGGGTTTTTTGGAGAAAAATGTCCGTGATCGGTTTCCTCCTTCACGCACACTCTCTGAACTCGAGACAGTCCTGCAAGAGGAATGGCTGCAAATTCCAATGAACTTTGTTCACGACCTTTATTCGTCAATCCCACGTCGAATGCAAGCTGTCATTTAGGCCAAAGGTGGCCCAACACCTTATTAATAAAATATTTTCATTTTTTCACAGGTGTTCCTATTATTTTGTCCTATACCTGTATGTTCCCTTTTGTTTGATGACATTTATCCCTCATTTGGTAAGCTTCATAAATTCGTGTTTGAAGTGCTGATTTACAGCCTTATCAGAATTTAACTTTATTTCCCGTAAGGGGTTTTGAGGAGAGCAAAACAAGTGGAAACCTGAAAGTGTAACGTCAGGATAGTATGGCGGGTGGGGTAATACACCCAAGCAAGCTCCCATAACTTTTGACGTATCGCCGAAGATGAGTGTAGTTTCACACTTTATTGATGGAACACTACTCCTTTAAGATTGATTAGCTTGGGCCATTTCTGGATGACAGATTTGTTTTAACTGTCTAATTGCCTACAGTACACACCTGGATTGATTGTTCTGTTGGTTGGAGCTCAAAAACAGCACACTTTTCAAAACCCAACACACTGAGAGCACAACCTTCTTCCGCAGAACTTCTGGTTTTGATGTTGTTGTTGACGAATCTTCACCTCATGACCAAAAAAACTGCTTGTGCATCACATTGTTGTAAACAACCCACCTCTCATCACCAGTTATTATTTGTGTAAAAAAAAGGTAGTTTTCTTTACGTTTCCTGAGCAAATTACAGATGCAATAGAATTTCAAAAAAGTCAGATATTTAAAATTAGATTCCTCAGGAACTATTTGACCGATTAAGAGCAAATGTTAATGAAACTCATTTTTTAAAGCGATGCAAAAAATTTCAAAGCTTACAATTCAAAATCTTTTTTTTATCACTTACAAATAAAATAATATAAATAATCAATACTTACTAAAAGTTATATTCTACATGGAATTATCTTTTGTGAAACAAATTTCATAATTGGGTGTGGAATTTTTTCAATTCGTTGAAAAAGTTCCAGATATAGCGAAATACGCATTAAGGGGTCCAAGCATTGGAATGCTCTTCTGGCCTAATTATTAGGACCATATTTCCCAGATTGCGGCAACTCCAATGTTTTGAGGGTCAGAAATCTGAATCCGCCAAGGAAAAAAGGGTATGTTTACTCGGAGAAAGTATCCGTTTGTGTCTGATTTTGTAACTTAAAAATATCGTTTGCATTTATTAATTAGCATATTTGAAGTCACCCCTCTAACCATTGAGTCCTAGAACGTGAAAATCCGATTATTAGATTAAAAGTTATTCAGGCTGGATCTTTTTTTTTTTGGGCACACTGTACATACACTGCTAGCAAAGAAGTTCTGCGTAATTGCCAAAACCACGCAAACTGGATGTTTGCGTGGTTTTGGCAATTAGAATGTCCTCTAGAGATTTATCAGACAAAGAATTTCTAAACTGTGTTCCATTTTCTTTTAACTATGCTGAATACCACTTTCTACTATACTTTTTGAAACATCCATCATTGGATGTTATTTTAGAAATAGCATCCTATTTTTTGTCCATTCTTGTTTCCTGTTTAGACACAGAATATAAATTAAATGAGTAATCTGCAAATCACTAAATTCCTCCAAAAGTTTATCTCTTTTCATATCTTCAGTTTCTTCAACATTTTCACTAACACACATTGATGGAAATAATTTCTCAACATCTGCAACCTCAGCAGATAATAAAAACTCACTATTCAAGGGAAATTTCTGCTGTATATAGTTGCAGACAGCAATATAATAATTTCTTATATTACTATAGAAGAGTTGCTTAGCTTCCATTTTTAAGGCTGATATTAATTTAGAAGCAGCACTACCAATTACAATATCATCATTCAATTTATGATTCTTCTCTGACAAAGTTAATGTCCACATGGGAAGAATCTTTAATGTCTGCTCTTATAAATTTTGAAACAAATCTTTTAATAAATCTAATAATAAAGAATTCGAAATATGAATTTTTGGCTCATTAGATTGTAGGAAAATTAAGGTTCTTTCAAAAACTGGGATAATGTAATTTAAAAATAAACAATAAGCTTTACAATTATCAGAAAAAAATGGATAAAATAAATACAGTCGAACCCCGCTATAGTGAACCTGGGATATAGTGAACACTCGGATGTAGTGAACTTTTTTAGCGGTCCCGTCCGTATTCCTATTTAAATAATGTTATTTTTAACGCTTAGAACTTGGAAACTCGGTTATAGTGGACTCAAATTTCATTTCTTTAAATATCGTTTTCAGTCCTCCATCTTTAAACTTGTAGGTGTTGGGACTGAAAATGAATGCATTCCTATAAAATGTGTCATATTACTCTCCTTTATGCTTATCACTTTTAACTATACTGTAATAAATGTCAAACAGATCATTTATCTTATACTCCCCCCTCCCTGACAAGCCTCGCTTTATCTCTTTTCCCCAAGCTTGCTCTACAACTAGTTAACTTGGCCACCTGCTGAATTTTTGGAATTTTCTTATCTGTTCAAACCATATTCTTTACAAATCACCCCTTGACAATCAAGAAGGAGAACAATTTAACTCATTCTACAGCTGCTCTCTTCATCTTACATTATCTATTTGAGACAAGATTTTTATTTCAAAAGCAGTGAAAATGGCAATTCTCTAAAGAGAAAAGCGTTTTCGATAGAGGACAAAGTTAAAATTGTAAAGTGTATTGATGATGGAACCAATCAATCGACACTGTGTAAGGAATTTTGCTTGTCAAAATCTACAGTTTCAAACATTTGGAAAAATCGAAGTGCAATTCTTGCGGCATACAACAAAAACATGGTTTCATCGAAAAAACTGCGTGGAGCTGAAAGAGAAAACGTAGAAGATGCTTTGTCAAGATGGCTCGAAATCTTGTTCAAAATGTAAAAATTTTGCATTCTTTGCACATTGTAGATAAGAAAATAGATGAACTGAATTTAAAATCAAATTGTGTTCAATCGAAAATCACAAATTTTTTTCATAAAAAGGGAAAATAAAACTAATATTTAGCGACGTAATTATTTTTTCCATCAATTTCTGCTTTATTATCTGTTAATTAGTTAACAATTTTTTAAATAACTTGTGCAAAATTGCAAAGTCAATTTTCAATCATTCAACTGTCTTATGCAAAAAATATTCTTCAAAAAATTTGGATATAGTGAACCATCGGTTATAGTGGACACATTACTGAGTCCGCAGACGGTTCACTATAGCAGGGTTCGACTGTAGAAGCATTTGTTCTTCCCTAGTCAAAGTTGACTCTTTTTTAGAAGATTTTGTCGAAGAACTTTTATAGCAATTACCTGCTTTTAATTTCGTTGCAGGCTATTCCATTTCTGATTTTCTTTTCAGAAATTTTTTAAGAAATATTTGAGCAATTACCTACCTTCAATTTATTCACAGATTTTTCTATTTCTAAAGGTCTTTTCTTCTTAGAAATATGTTCATTCTCTTGACTTTGCTGATTTTTTAAAAGGTATGCAATAGTCATAAGGACTATTGTAGCAGTTTCTCTTTCAATTTATTTGATACTTATGAAAACTACATAGAGGATCCCATTGTTCTAGGAGTCTCTTTAAGCATCTACCCAAAGAGAGCCAACTTGTGCAACTATGTTTCAAGATTTTGAGTGTATCAATATCAAATAAAACTTGCACAGCTTTAAGTTCAAGTTTTTTTTGCAACCTTTTCTAAATAAAAAAAATATCCAAACATCAACTAAAACATCACTAACTGATACAGGTATAACAGTAGCCCTCTTTCAGCAACAATGTGTACTAAATGGCAAGGACAGCCGAAGACAAAAATTTCTGGATTTGGTGTCTTAATTACAGCAGCAACACCATTCTTTGCGCCAACCATCACCGGAGCATTATCGCAGCTAAGTGCCAAACAATTTTCCAAAAGAATATTTTTCGATTTTAAAGCATTTAACACCGAATTACCAGTATAACTGTAGAGCTTGAATCTAAATCCGACACGGCAAATAGCGATACCTTGACTTTGTCGGCTTTTGTGTCGAAGTGAGACACAACTATAGGATAAAGCCGTGCATCTGTACCATTGTTGCCATCAGCAGCAACAGCAATTTGTTTCTGAAGAGATTCAACAATTGAAGCACTTTTAACATCTGCTTTTTTTGACACTATAGCAGTAGTTTTTGTTCGTCCTGCACCATATTATTTTGCAGCATTGCTTTTAGAGAACATTTTCCTAAATAATGGGCCCGCATGATCTGCGACACTAATAGGTAGATTGTGCTCAACAATGAACAACGTAAAATACATTTTGCCCCATATTACATCATCACTTCCAGACACAAAATACTTGCTAATGTTTTCATTTTTATAAACACATTCCGCTAAATCCTTATGTCTCTTTGTTTGTATATGATCATTTATATCGTTTTTACCGCCATGTGCTATTTTAAAATATAGTCTACAAACATTACAAAAGGCATAGTGCTGCGATTTGTTGGACTTAATTACGCAGGGAAAACTTTTAGAATAAGATTCAAAAAATATCTGATTATAAACTTTAGGTGTCATTAAAATTTTTTTTAAATAAAATCACGCCACAATCCATGTGCATCAAATCGCAAACACAAATAACATTACCTTTGCCAAAATCTAGAAATCTCTTAATCTAGAAACTTCGTAACTTTGGGGGTAAAACAAGTAAGCATTGCTTTTCCTTCGATATTGCTGGCCATGTGATCTCCTACATCAGAGTTCCCACCGGCTCATTTCGCTGAGGCGCATACTCACTCTTATTGGATAACGATTGTTTTCGCTTCACGTGACTGGCTCCCGAAACCAACCTGATTAAAACTTGTCAAGAACTCTTTTTTTTTCTAGCAAAGAGTTTCATAACTGGTATTTAAAATCTTGTAAACCTTTGAAATCTTGATTTACATAAGCATGCAGTTAATTTGATCTTTTTTTTTTCTTGAAAAAAAATTTAAGAACTGTAAATAAATACGCAACTGTACGGTCGTACAATTGTGTAAAATCACTGTACAGTGAAACCGTACAAGTTGGCACGTACGTAAACATATTGCATGGTTTCAAGCTAAGTCAGTTTTTATAAATTTGCTGATAAATTCTTAACTTTAACAAATTTTGACAATGTCGTTTTTGGCAGTAATGGAAACAGATTTATACATGAGTTTTAAAATTTCAATGTTAAAATGGGACATTATAATGTATCACGAATTGGAAGTAGTGCATTTGAATAATCACTTTTTGACCACTTCTATTAGTGTTATTTCCAACATAAACCCACATGGTTTGTCAATCTCTACTTTAGCAACTATTGCTACAGATTTTGACAATTTTTAAAACCCCACAGTCTTAATATATTATACATACCGCGAATTACAAATTTCGCATTTGAGTAATCATATTTTGACCCATTCCATTAGTAGTAATGATTCCACCTGAAATCAACATGGTTCGTTAATCACTATTATGACAGCCATTGTTACAGATTTTGACATTTTTAAAATCTCGAACTTCTGATACAATATAACGCACCGCAAATTAAAATGGCGCTTTTAAGTAATCACTTTTTGACAAGTGGAATAGCGAAAATTTCACTACAAAACAAAGAGGTACGTCAATAGTTTTTTTTATAGTTATTCATACAGATTTTCTCATGGCTTTTAAAATCTTCATGCTAATACAGCATTATTTTGCCCAGCTAACTTTGAATTGCACACTTATAAGAATAACTTTTCTAGGATCAAACGATTATCCCTCAGTCAAAACGGAGCTTGCCTCACATTACAGATGCAAACCGAAAAGATAGCCAAGTCTGAATACTGAAGTTTGATCTCAGTGGCCACTGACGGTGCTGCAGGTTGGGAAACATTAAAGCAATTTCATTAAACAAATTTATGGAATCCCCAATACTAAACATCATTTTCACAAAGAATAATACTTAAATTCTTTCTAATTTTCAATATTCACTAATTTTTAATATTCACAGCTACAGCTTTTCTCATAAACACTGGCACATCTCTCTCAGAATAATTTGATACATCTTCAATAAATAATAATCTATAACCCATTTGTATTTAAATAACTCGTGGCTGTCCATTTCTCATATGAATTGAAATTTATGTTATTAATTCATTACTCATTGAAAATTAACTTTATTCAATATCTGTCACAATTTATCTATTTTTCATTTCATCAATTGAAAATAACCCAATCTTATTTTCACCAAAAACATTATTTCACACTAATTTCTAATCTTCAAGAGAAATAACTATTCCTGCACTGTTAAATTTTAATAATTAGAAATATTTAGATTCTCATTTCCAAAAAACTTAATACAAAATTTCAGAGCAGCATCAAATAAGATTGACACAATGGTGTTTATTTCAAAACTTCAATAATAGCATTAATATCATTAGTTAAATTTACGTACTCACAATAATATACTAATACATATTCAAGTTTAACCAGAAGTAAAAACCGAACTTTAAAATTTGAAATTCAATCTCAATTACTTTTAACTCTAAATTCTCAAATTTAAATCTCACTTGTATCTTCAAAACATTAAGCTTACATGTATGTTTATCTCAACTTACGGTAGTTAAATTAAAAATAATGAAAGCTAAGTTAATAAAAATAATGAAATTATATTACTCACTTCAGTTAATTCTTCAACAGTTGACATTTCGGAGAGCATTTCTAAATTTAGGTTTCGATCAGCAGTTGTAGGAGGAGTGGAAAAAACAAAGCTACCTGATGAAGAAGATGCATCTGACAAAAGAAAGAAAAAAACTTTATACAAAAAAAAAGGATAATTTTCCTTAAAAAGTTGTACACACAGCTTATTATTATTTCACAAGATTGATTCTGTTCAAACTTGTTCAAATTAAAGTAAAATTAATAAAGGCAATAAAATTAACATGCTGTTATAACAAACAAATTCAAAATTTGATTGATAGAAAAGGAAAGTCTTGCACAATAGCTAGACTTTTTAGAAATTTTAGAACAGTGTTAAAAATTCTGAAGCTCAAATATCCGCATAAATTCTGAAGCTCAAATATCAGCATAAGGTAAATGTGGCAAGCAAAAAGTGGAGTAAAGTTGTGCTTCCTCCCTCTCATACTCCATATTTTAATCCTCATCTTCAAAGTCAAGAAAAGAAGCTTGAAGAAAATTGCATCTGACTTAACATTAATATATGCTTAACTTTTTGTTAAGGGGGTCTTTTTTTTTATGGAAAAGATAAAGAACAAAAAGCTTATTTTTTGTGAATTAGAAAAAACAATTTTTATATTATTGCAGTTACATTTGAACCCTAATCTTTTTTTATAAGTATTTTTTACCAGTTGCTTCTTGCCTACCAGGAAGAAAAATATTCAAATTGTAGAAAAAAATGTAAAAAGTTTCTTAAAAAGTGAGTGAAAAGTGATAAAAAGTAAAGATTTACTTTTGATAAAGTGAGTAAAGATTTTTGCTTCCGATTAGAAGATCGCAACATGATAAAAAATTATGTTGTAAGCAGAGTTTGTTGATTTAAATCACGATTTAAATCAAATGATTTTTTTGAAAAAAATCATTGATTNAAAAAAATCATTGATTTAAATCAATAATTTCTTTTTAAATATATATATTGATTTTAAAAGTTAAAAATCAGTGTTTTAAATTATTGATACTTCTATTATTTTGTTTTCTTAGTTTTAAAATTTACTTTAAATAAATTGCTGCATTAATTAATTTTAGTTAACGAAATTACTTTCGTTTCTTGGTGTTTGTTAAATCCCAACACATTTGAAATCACATTTTAAAAAATGTTTTGATTCTTGAGATTGAAAGTACAGATTAAAGTAAACATTCATTGCTGTCTTAATATAGACTTGCATAGCTGTAGAAAGTAATTAATAAGCATGATATTTTTCAAAAAATAATGCAAATAATGTTAATTAAAATTCTACCTTTTGAATGAAAAAGCGTGGAATTAAAATCTACATTATATTTTATTGGTGGAAAATGAATATTTCTGAAGCTTGAGGTTATATCAAAAAGAAATTACCCTAATATGCCAAAAGTAGAAAAAGAAAAAAAAAAAGGCTGATGAATTCAGATACTTTTCTCCTGATATAGTGTCATTCATAATATATTTACAGTACCTTTGACATTATCTGATTTTCTATAAAGAAATTTTGTGAAAAAAAATTCCAATGAGTACATAGAATTTAAAAAAATTTTTTTTTAGTTTAACTTTTCTATTTTGATATAGAATTAAAAATAATTATTTTAATATAAAAATATATAGATTAAATATTTATTTATTTTTTGATGAATGTCTATCTTATAAACACAATCTGTTACATTTATTTTGTCATTTCAAAAATCAAGAAAAAAAGAAGAAATCACAATTTTAAATTAAAATTATGGTTTACTAATTGAAACTTTGTTTTGGTAGAACAATTTGACAAAATACTTTTTTCTTAAAATTTTTTTTTTGTGTCTCGTAAGAAACGATAAATCCATATTTTTACCATATTTGTGTTGATTTATGATTTTTAATTTTCACAAATTATGTCTAAATTTTCGCAAAATAGGTATACCTCAAAGAAAAACCTAGACAGACCACTAAAGTATTCTTTAAATTTTCTATTTCATCTAGTCTTTAAATTTCAATTATGCATTTATCTCAGAATGGTTGCTATGCATTCAAAGCTTTGTATTATAATGAAAAATTATTTTAGTAAGTTAGAGCTTCTAAAATATTGTTATAATATAGTTTTAATATTAATTTAATTTTGATTAAACATTTACAAAGTTTTTTTTTAATCATAAATGAAAGTTCTTACAGTGTATTTGAATTTAAAAAAAAATATCTGATTTAAATCAAAAAAAATCTGACTTTTTAAATTTTTTTTTAAAAAATCAAAAGAATCACGAACCCTGGTTGTAAATCTTTTCTCAGATCTTTCATTATTTCAACATGCCCTATCCACTGCATTCTTCCTTGATAAATCAAGTTTTTCTCATTAATTAAATTTTATAATTGAACCCTTTAAATGGACTTAAAGATTAAACTCATTATTATAAATTCTAACATTCACAATTCCTGAATTGCATAAGATATCATAGAGGTCAGGAAACCTCGTTCGTAACTAGTAGAGATTCAGAGCTACAGCCGAGACTCTCTGATCTGAAAAAGAAAAAATGCCTTTTTATATTACTCCTGAGACATTGTTGTTATAATCTCCTTTTGACTCCTTTACTCCTTATTTGCTGCAGATTTCTAATTAACTTTCTTATCTGTAAAGGACTAAAGTTAAAGTTTATAACTCTAAAATTAAACTATTTGTTGGCTTTAGGACCAGCATGAGCATGAGCACCTTTCCTGAAGACTCACTTAGCTGAACTTGAACAGCTTTAGAAAAGAAAATGAGGAATGGAGGTGGAGTGATCAGAATTCCTATCAATTGTGAATAATAGATATGCGAATTAATAACTCCCAAAAAAATCCTATCAAGACACCACTGAATATGCAAAGGAATCTGTGCAAATTTGGGATTTAATTGATTCGAATCATTTCAACCAAATAAAAAAAAGGAGGTGTAATAATTCTTTTCCCACAAATCAGAATTTTAAACAAAATCATCCCTTACAATAAATCATACCATCTCACATCAATCATACTTTAGTAATATGTAAGTTTACAAAAATTAGAAAGAATACCTACCACTTTCTTTTTTATATATATAAACTAGGGTTAGGTTTTTTAAAGTAAAAAACACATCAAAAACTTGGGACACGTTTTTTGCATCTTTCAAGGCCTTTTATTCATTAAATCACTGTTTATTAATTGTTTATATCATGCATTACTTGCTATTAATTGTTAATATTTACATTAAAATATTACAAGAGAATGACCTCGAAAATCTTAAAAAGAAAAATAATTTCTAATTAATATAACTCTTCTTTTACAAACAACGAAGCAGTGAAAGAAGGTTTACTGATAAGGGAATGCAGAAATTCTCACAGAAGCTGTATAGATAAGGTTGCGCATGGGGAGATAAATTCTATTATTTCTGCTCCATTTTTCTTCCATGTGACAAGAAAAACTGTTTTTTTGTTAACCTGAAGGCTATGGAAGCTGGGACAATATCTCTATACATACTACCCTTGACAATAAGAAAAAGCGCTTCATTCTCATCTAATTCCAGTCTAGAAGCATATGTTTCAATCATAAACTGATAGTTTTAAATTCAGCTCTTAGTTTTAAGCATATATTTTTTGCATTTATTGATAATATTACATTAATTAAACAATATATTACTTGAAGCAATTGATAAAAGAAAAATTTTACACTAAGCCAACAACGAAGAAGTTGATAATATGGCAAAAAAGAAGTTGAAAGTGGTTTTGACTAGTGCGATTATCATGGCTCAAGCAAGTCTCTACCACAAAAACATGAAAATGGAAACGCCTTGCAAATATTCTTTCCGATGGTTAGACAGATTTTTAAAAAAATGACATGGAATAAGGCTGCTAGGAATTTGCACAGAAAAGAAGTTAGCCAACGTTGAAGCTGTTGAACATTTCATCAATTAATTTTTTAAATTTGTTGTTGATAATAATTTATTGTTTAATGCCAATAAAACTGCTTTCTTCAGGTGTTATGTTCCTAGAAAAGCTATTGTGCACTGCCAATGGAAGAAATCTATTGAATATGAAAGACATAAATGAGAGTTTGGCGCTAATTAATTAGGGCAGACGATATTTTAAGTTACGAAATCAGATACAAAAATGCACTTTCTTCTGAATAAACATGCTTTTTTTATTTGATGGAATAGGATTTCTGACCCCAAAAATAAAAAGGAGGTAGTTACAATCTGAGAAATATGGTCATAATAATTTAGTTAAGAGAGTGATCCAAAAATTATACTCCTTGTTGTTAATATATTTTTTCAGTATCTTGAGAACTTTTTAAAGCAAATTGAATAATTTTTGCACACAATAATAAAAATCGTTTATTCAAAGATTGTTTTGCTCAACAGGGATGAGAGTAGTCAGAAAGTAAAAAAAGAGGAAATCCAAGAATGAATATTATATATATATTTGACAAAAAAACGTGCAATTTTAAAACTTGTAAACCATGTGATTATAAATCCTGATGATTAATTTTAAAATTGTATGAGTATGATTGAGAGAATCTGAATCCTGATACGAGGCTTTTAAATCATGTGAATATGAAATTCTATCTCGAATTAAAAAAAAATTCTTAATTTTTAGATCACGTAAATACGAATAATGATGCATAATGTTTAAATCGCGGGAATACGAATCCCAATGTCCAATTTTTAAAGCACAAATAAATACGAAAATCGATGTTTGATATTACCGCTAATATGAACCGCTACATAGAGTTTTAAAAGCACGTAAATACAAATCGCGATATTGGATTTTTAAATCTCGTAAATAAGAATCGCAATGTTCGATATTTAAATCACCTGAATAAGAATCGCAACGTTCGATATTTAAATCGTCCTAATAAGAATCGCAACATTCAACTTTTAAATCAGGTAAATACGAAACTCGATGATTGATAATAAAATCGCGTTTTAAAAATGCATAAATACAAAACGCAATATTGTATTTTTTAATCTCGTAAATAAGAATCGTTATGTATGATATTTAAATAGCGTAAATAAGAATTGCAATGTGCAGCTTTTAAATCAGGTAAATACGAAAATCGATGATTGATATTAAAATCGCATGAGTGAGAATAGAGATATTTGCAGAGTCTGGACTTGGGATTTCTAAAAGGCTTGTTTGTATTATTTTTGTTTAGACATAATAAATAAAAATTTACAAGATTAATTGAATGAGCAAATAAATAGTTTCACCACAAATCCACATCTATTTTTTTCTCTCGCTAGCTTTCACGCCAGAAAACAGGAAGTAGTGACGTCTGAATTACGAAAATACAAGCTAACCGGCGAACGGATAAAAATACGGAAAATCTTGCTTTCTGTGCGTAAAAGCGGAGAAAATAGCTAAAATAAGTATAAATGCGGAAGGGTTAGCAGCTAGGACGTAGTTTGAAATTTCAGTTTATCTTTGAAAATCGTAAATAAACATATTTTATTTTAACGACTGAATTTTCAAAAAAAAAAAAACTTTTAAAAAATCGAAGTTTTTAGTAAAGAGACTCAAATTTGAGAGACAAAAGCGAAAAAAACGGAAATCTGCTAAAAAGCGGAAAAATCTCATCCCTGTATTAAAGGTCAACCAGTTTTATCCCAAAGAAATTATTTTTAGAGAAACTTCAGAGGGAGGAATGAGGACTTCAATACTTTTGCTCAGCGGAAAATTAAATTCCTCATAAAATTAATTTCCATTTTTCCGCGGGAAAAATCTGGAGAAAAAAAAAGTGGAAATCCGCGAAAGGATCACATCGCTGGGTATAACAAATATGCTTTCAAAAAAACTAGCTAGAGCTTTCTTCCATGTGCAGTATCCCCCTTGTTTCCTTTAGAATGCTCCACTCTCTTCATGAGTATCATTCTAGGCAAAAGGCAGTATACAATAAGGAAAGAACCAATATAATAATGAAAGGATATTCTTTCCTCCCCTTGCCTGAAGCCCCCTCACCCCTAAACTACTCTATCCTCGATTTATGGTCAAATTCTAGATAATAAAAGAATGACTTTTTGTTTTAACCCTTTCAGTCCCAGTGATTCCAATTGGAATCATTACATNCTACGAAAGGTATAATCCGGCTCTGGATGCACCCCAATGCATACCTGTCTTAACAATACTAAGAACTGTTCTAAAACATTTCATGTAAAATAAATAAGTAATACTGAGAAATAATAAGGTTCTCATCTAACCATATCAATAATGATGAAAATTGGTTCAATTTTTTACAATGTGTAATAAATATAATAGTGCCAAATATTTCTTGCAGAATAGTTATAATTTATTTAGTTATTAAAAAATACCCCATTTATATAGTTATAAATCTTTAAATAATGCATAATATATATTCAAAAACTTTTCTAGTGATTTTCGTCCTTCACTACTTTATTCCCAATGATGCCATTTGGAATCATTCAAAATTTTATAAAAGAAATTTAAAAAAAAAAAAAATTCTGTTTGTTTTGTTCTTTTGATTGCAAAATGAGTCTGTTTTACAAATTTCAGATTTTTTTATTGAAAAATAAATATTTGGGACTGAAAGGGTTAAAAAATTGAACTGAAAAATTTTTCCTATCAACCGTAATGATGCTAAAATGACTTTTAAAACCTTGAACCAAAATTAAGTACGTTTCAGGGCCCTTATTTTCCAAGATGAAAATTGAGCTGTGTTGAAGGACTTATGAGGACCATGGGAACCCTAGAATTATTAATAAGAAAGAATGTTGAATAGAAAACCATGGATCTATACTACAAGTGCTAGTAAAAACTAACCTAACTTTTTTTCCTTAAGCATCACTATTTAATTTAGGAAAGCTCTTTCGAATTGCAAGGTAAGAAAAGTTTTAAAAAAAAAAGGTTAATTAGAAAGAAATTGAATATTATGGACAATTAAATCATTATCGATATTAGATTGTTTTTCAAAGATTTAAAAAAATGCTGAGCATTTTGCTCTTTCATAAACGACACCTTTTCCTAAGAAAACATCTCTATTACTTTCATTTCCATGCACTACACAACTCTAGAAAAGATGTTCTGATCATATAGTTGTTTTGCTTTAGAGTTACATTATTTTTTAATGCTGGTTTGGCGACAATTTTATATCCGTCACAATATAAATTTTTTAACGCAAAAAAGTGTAAAATGGCACCCACCTTCTTCTTTATAATTTTTTTCAGATGAATGACTTTCTTTTGCTTCTAGCCTGAAAAAAAGTAAACCATAAACTGCATTCCAGATGATAGTAGAACATATTAAAATGGTTAAATGTAGCAAAGTGATGATACATCAAACTAAAAACTATAAATTTTAAAATAATTACTTAAAAAACTGTATTCAATTTATTAAATCTTTAAACAGTTATTGATCTAAATTTTGTTTACAAAACCACACAACATAGTATGTTTTGTCATGTAGTTAAAAGCTATAGCACCGTATTTTCTGGTGAAAGCGGCGCACATCGATAAAAATGAAATTTTTTAAAAAAAAGTTATAGTAAGTCTCGCAGAGTCGTAACACCACACATATCAGCATCCTTATAGAAGAGACCTTTAAATTACCATTTAGAATATCAGTTTAATAAAAAAATAATAATATACATTTCACAAAGTAAAGTTTTAATTTCTAAATTATAAAAAAAGAATAAAATCAGTTAAAAGGTCCGCTCACTTACTGTTTAGATATCATTGCTGATACGGGTTAATTTGGAATAAGGGTGCTTAATAAATAATCCCTATAAATGATCTGAAAAAAAATGTACAACAAAATATTTTTAAATACAGCAAATAACATAATTTCCCACTTATTAGGGGAGAGAGAACGGCCTAAAATGTGTTAACAAAGAGTTCACGTGAATAAAGTTTCCTTTTTCAGCAATAAAATAAAGTTGTTCTTACCAGTTGGCACCGTGCCAAAAAACAGAAGAGCAAATAATATTTATATGCTCAGCGGCGCAGATAAAAACCTTGCGTTGGCACGGTCGGAGTTTGAGAGAAAAAGGTTTGAGAATCTCAAATTTTAGGAAAGTAAATTATTCTTCTATTATAAAAAATATTTAGCACAAGAATAAACGCTGTGACTGATTACAGAAATCTTTAAAACAATATAATAAGAAAAAAAATGAAAAATTTTAAGCCAAAAATTTATTTAAAAAAATATTTAAAAATTAATTATAACAATTTGTGGAAAAACTAATAATAATAGGAATACGAAATAACTAACCGTGTACCAAAAAAATTATGAAAGATTGAGCAAAGCGGAAACGAGTTTCACTTTCACAATCTTTGGGGGTGGAATGCCCTCTTGTTCATTGGAAATAACACAATATGACTCAGCTTAGAAAGAGAGAAGAAAATGTTTAAAGGAGGGGCATACCCCACCTCCTCCACTTGTCATTTCTACTGGAGCTGTTTAGGAGGAATCAATCAGTTATTTTTAAAGGGGTTGGGGAAAAGAAAGCGGGATTCAGAATGGGACCCCTAATCAAGCATCCTGAAATTTGGCACTCAATGCAATCTTTTTTTTTTTTTTTTTTTAAGAAATTGTTAGCCACACCTAGTTAACATTGAAACTACCACATGGGGTATAAAATGAATTCTATCCTTTTTGCGTTTTTTTTTAATTATATTTATTTATTATTTTGTGGCGTTTTTTATTAGTTATTAACTGCTAGTTTTTTTCTCGTTATTAGTTGTTTGATTGGTTTTTTTTAATCGTTTTTAGTTGTTAGCCTGCTTTTTGTAGTTATTCATTGTTAGTTTCTTAGCATTAATTACTTTTTTTGTAGTTCCTTGTTTTTTCTTCTTTTTTTGTGAGGTGATCGTTTTTTGTTAAAACATAATATTATCTAAAAGAAAAAAAACGAGACGATTACTTCTTCGGAGGATTCGGATTATTTTAATAAAAAAATTTTATTAAGATGGGCCAGTTATAAATTCACCCCATCATAATCTACAATCGAAACTTAAAACTACATTTATTGGTTTTTCCGAAATTAACAGTATAATTGATTATAGTAATATATGATCGCCACAATGGAATTTCCGAAGGAGATCAGAAGTTCGGCAAATTTCAAAATACAGAATTTCGTTGGTCCCGTGAGTGCCGGATTTGCAGTCCTATTACTTCCTTACCTGTTGGCTCCAATTAGAATTGCTAAGGCGCTAAGTGGATTTCTAGCTTGTGATCTCTCTTTAAGCTGGGGTGGATACAAGATGCATACCTTTTAAATTGGTCTCTTACTGCAACGTTTTTTTAAATTATTACTTTGATTATTTATTTTCTTGCAGGCCACTGCCGAAAGTTTGCTAAGAATTGGCGATTATTCTGCAGCAGAATGCGATACAGCCTAATGTTTCGTTGACTTCTTTATTGAATATTTTTTAAGTAATCTTAAATAATTTTCCTTGATAAATTTTTATGCTACTAAAAATTTTTTCGGCGAAAGCGCCGCTTGTTGGGAAAAAACAACTTTTTCTCACCTGTAGAGCCGCGGCACTTTCCCCAAAAAATATGGTATGTTTTAAGTAGATAAAACTATTTTCTTATTTTTTAGACAGTAAAATAAAGTTGAAATGTATAAATAGCTTGAAATCTTATTTTATTTAGTCAAACCTTACAACTATTAAAACATACATAAATTCTTTTATTTATATTTCACACTTAATTTCAAGCAATCACAATTAAGTGAAGTATGTCCTAAGCAGAGGAAATATTTTGAATTGCATACATTGTAACAATGTGTAGGTTAAAGCAACAATTTAAATGTTGCACAGTTAAAAGCACAACTGTTCGGAAAGTTTAAATAATCAAAATTTTAAGAAGTTTATAATTTTTTTAAATATAATAAAACTCTAACGTAATGTGCAATATATCTAATAAAATAATATAAAAATTCCTCATGTAACTTCTGAAAAACTAAAGGGACAGCTTTCACTGCTTGCGAAAAATTCACAGATGCAACTGAGAACCTGATTGATGCAATATATTAACTGGTAAAAAACTCACCAATCAGGTTCCCACTTAACGTTGATACCAATTTTAAAGGGCAGGCTGAAACTGAATGGAGAAGGAACTGGCAATAAACAAGCTGATTATATGTCAATGATGACCTCATCAATGAGAATTGAAGAGTTCAGTGAAAGAACCGGTTGAATTAGAGTCATGCATATTAAATTATGTCTTATTTCAAGTAAAACAGTTTATACCAATATCTAAGCACCTCAAATCATTCACTTTTTTTCTCTCATTAGGCTTAACTTAATATTTTTTTAAAATTCATTACAATAAATATTTTTATGAAGATTTTTATAGAATAAAAATACAATATGCATGAGAAGATTTATAATTTTCAAACCAATATGTCTTTTATCAGTTCTCAGTAAAACACATAAATAAAAGGGTCTAGAACGACCTTTCCAAGGTATCAACACATTCTTATGGCCAAAAAATTTATAAGGTACCTTAATTAAGAAATACTGATAAATTATTTATGTTTTTATCATTTATAGATAATTACTTGTAATATTTCAGTACCATTCTCTACTATCGTTATGATTTGATATTTTATCTTCATCGCAAATTGACAGTTTAAAAACTGAAAATGGTACTCTTTTATTATAAAGTAATCCTGAAATATCACATTATCAGGTAAAGTTTTGTAAAAAAAATATTTAAAATTTATGAAAAACATATTGAAAACTGTATGTAACTTAACAATTTTGAGATTATTAGTAAACAGCAAATTTACTTTTATGATGAGCTATACATAAAATAATTTCCAGCCAAAACTGTTATTAGAAATTAACTTAACATAATATCACTAAACAATCTGGCAAAAAACAAGAATTAATTTTAAAGCAACCAAAAGTTGAATAAAAATTAAGAAAAAAAAAGCAGTAGGGTAAACTAACCAGTGAAGGAACACTTAAGCTTAGCTTGCCTTTAAAAAAATCATAAAAATTTCAAAATTTTTAATTTTAGCTAAATGACAGTGCTAACATATTTGTTATTAAATGAAAAATCATGTAGAAGAAAATTTAGAGAACTTACATAATATTGATTTAAGCTTTTCATGATTCAAATAATAAGTAGTAAGATAACCAAGTGAAGGAACAGTTCCTACCAGTGAATGAACACTAAATTTTCCAGTGAATTAATTTTGAGAATTTTTGAAGCTCTTTAAGAATTCATAGGCCATACAAATGTCTAAAAACAAGGATTTTTTCTTGCAATTATGACATCTAACCACAGTTAACGTGGAAAATTTCACTTTTTTTCTTAGCCATGAAATCGAAAGTAAAATGGGGTTGAATACAGAATAAAAAAATGTTTTTAATTTTCATTCTCACGCTTTAATAGTCGAGTCTAAATCATGAATGTTTATCATTGTGTAATCCGATGATGTTTTATTACTATTCTTTTATAATTTTGTTTAATCTTTTTCTCCATATTTTTGGAAGCTTTTTTTTTTTTTTTTTTAAATCTTTTTAAGTATTTTTTTTTCTCTTCATCATACTTTCTTGCTTTAACTTTTTTTTTCCAGCTCTTTCAGTCTCTTTAAATTTTAGTCCTTTTTCTGAAGTTAATGCAAAAGGTTATTTATTTCTTCTTATTTTGATTTGATCATCCTTTTTTATTCCTATATTTGGCTAATGTAAATGAATATTCGAAATTTCTTCTGATTTTCCAGTACTATTTCTAGAATTTCTCACTGGATAATTACTGGGAAAAAGGTGTTTTGTAGTTTGAGGAAAATCCATCTATCATTCACTTATATCTAGTGGGTCTTCAGCAGTACTTACCATTTTCTGACTTTGATTACTAATGGAACGAATTGTTTCTGCAAATACCAATGCCTCAAGAGGACTTATCTCAAAATCAGTTTTCAAGATTACTAATGGAACGAATTGTTTCTGCAACTACCAATGCCTCAAGAGGACTCATCTCAAAATCAGTTTTCAAGATACATTCATTATCAATGTTATTTGTTTCAGCTTCAGTGCCAAAGTCTGACTTAACCAAATGTTCTTTTTGCAATAAATTCTTCTATATTTAGAAAAACACAGGCTATTGGATATTTAGGATATAAGACTCTTCGGTCAATGTTCCTTTAAAAATTTGCAACATATCTTAAAGATTCTCAAAGCAATTATAGAATTTTTTGGATAGAATCAAATAATATTTCAGTTCCTACATTATACTTTTCACTAAGATTGATTTATTTTTATGTAACTTTAAATGACATTTTTTTATGATACTAAAGCAGAAAGTTTTAATTATAATTATTTATTAATCATAAAACTGAATTTATTTAATCAAAGCGCATTACTATGCATTAAATACCATGAAAAAGTAAAATTTCGCAAAAATTCAATATTTAAGATTGACTATTGCACTCCCCTTCTAATCAAATAACCCGCTTAATAGCATAGATTTGGCTGAGCATAGATTCCTTTAGGCGGGGTTGACTGTACTAGAATTTTCTATTTTTAGAATATTCAATAACTTTATTATTGATTTTTATTTAACTATTTAAATTATATACATATGCATATTTAGAGGAAGTGTTAAGTCTGTAATCAATACCTGCGTTAGTATAGTAAAATCCAGTGGGGCATGTACAATGGTGATAAATTACGGTAATTTATTTCGACGGTAATTTGTGTATTTCATATAAACACAATCATTCAAGTAAATTTTAAGAAAGTGCCCTCTAAATGTTAGAATTTCAATTCCGATGTATCCTTGCCCAAAGTGAAACTATATTATCTAGTCTTGCATTTGGTCTTTTTTTTTTCTGCCGAGTATGAACTAATGCCATCTCTTTTCTTACACTTCTCAATAGAAGACTATTTTTGCCATAATTCACAAAAATATACGTTTTTATGTTGATGAAAATTACTTAAGATTTGTAGAATAATGCATTTTTGTAATTAACACACCATTATAGATTCTTGTGGAAGGTTCGCTGAAGTAGTTCAAAATTTTGTGAAAGGATCCATTTTTGGAAAAATCAGGATTTTGTGAAAAGGTTCATAAATGGACAATATTTCTTCCTAGATTGACCCCCGATACAGGTTTTGTTTTCTTTTCCGCATTGCCATTTTTTCTCTTCTTTCCATGGTTGTTTCAACCCAGAAAACATTGTTCCAAATCTCTGGAATTTTGAGGTTTCCCAAAAACATAATAATAATAAATTGGAATAGCACTATTTGCATCGATTTTATAGTAAATCCTCATGCTTTATTGCTGTTATCATTATTTTTTGTTGAAGTTTATGTCAACCCTTTCCACCATGTGTTTCCAAATCAAGTATTTTTAATACGATGCTATAAATTAGTATAAATTAGTAATAAATTAGTAATTCTACTTTGAACTCTACCACTATATTTTGGAAACTTCAGGTTTTAGGAGTCAGGATTTTACAATTTTTGGGTCCCTTTTTAGTAAACGAAGAAATTCTATATATTCACTATTTAAAATATGAATTCTCTTCCTCATTATTCATGAGCTTTGGAGAAGTAAGGATTTTAATTAGGACTGATCAAATGCCTGCATCAAGTAAAAACTGTGTAATTCGATTCTCAGAGTTTTTTTAATTTTCTCCTTCAGTTATTAGAAATGAAAATGATTTTTGTTCATATGTATCTAAAGTTTGAATAATTTTGCATACATACATGTGTATTATAATCTGTGTTCCCTTGACGATTGTTGGCGTATTTGAAGTATTTTAATGCATAATGGGAATTACTTGCACTTCTGGGCACACTTTTGATGGCGGGGGAAATCATCTAACTAAACATGTTAAATAACATTTACGTGGAAAACTAAAATCGATAACTTAAACCATTGAGAAGAATTTTTTTTTTTAAAATATTAAATGAAATTGTATAAAATAAACTTCTTAGCTCAGATAAGCATAAATCAACACATTCATATTATTGAGAAGTTATAAATGACTATTATTGTGCTGCCATCTGCCGATGATAAGAGAGAATCACTGTCGGTGATATGGTGAATAAGATAAAAAATTTTAAAAGGAAAATGTCATAATCGGAACAAATATTCCAAAACTTTTAGAATTTAAAAAAATCTTGCCTTTAAAAATTTAATTATTTAGATAATTGTAAATGGAAATATATCAGTTGTATAAATGCCCCATGTCATAAAGTAGTCAGGCTATATATTAAAAATTATAACTAAAGACGGGCATTTTAATTTCATACAGTTTTAAGCAATGAATCTCTTCCAAATGATCCTATTTTTTGATGATCCAGTAGATTATTTTATGGTTATAAAATTCTAAATTTCCTGATTTGCAAAGTTATTTGATGCAGATTATTGTGTAGTTTAAATGTTACCTCGGATCAAAATTTGCATAGATTACATAATATTTATTTCAGTATAATTTCTAATATATATTTAAAATAATGTATATGTTTTTAATTTAATTAAAAGCTTTATTTTACGGATGAAAATTTTTTTAAATTCTCTTCGTTATCTTCATATCTCAATATTGCACATTATTTTACCAGTTCATCTCTAAACTATTTTTATTTTTGGGCAAGATCTATCATCTTAATAGATATTATCAAAATCTAAAAACATTTAATGAATTATATTCTTTTTTAAATTTATATTTCTTTCAAGTATCGATTGTTTTTTTTTCCTGTAAAAAAATTAATATAAGTTAGTTAAATTATTTAGAATCTTCTTACTTATACTATTTATTTGAATTATTGCAGCAGCAATCTTTATTACTCTAACCGGGAATATCTTCAGGTTAAAGTTACTTAACTCTGGGTTAGAGTAACTAGCAGTTATGTACACGGTGAAATGAAATTTTGGACTCTAACCTAGAGTTGCTCTCATAAAACCTGTTTTGAACTCTGACCGAGGGTTAGGGTCAATGGTGAATATGGGTGTAAGATTTGCAACAACTGAGGTAATCTATCAATAAAAAATCTAATGCTGGAAAAAGGCGTAGTTTCCACTTTCTCTAGACTTGCAACTTTTGCAAGAATAACGACCTCATCATTATAATGAAATTTTTGTCGCATGTAGTCACAAATCCTCACAAAATATTTTCTTACATCATAGTAAATAGAATCTTTCTTTTCCTCTCAAAGTCTGAACAATAGTTAAAGTGGAATGTCCAATTACTAGGTCGCAATCATCTTTCCGGTTTTCTCGAAGATAAAAGTTGACATCCATAAAAAAGCTTTTGGATTGATTTTTTACTATATTGGGTAGCATAAATTTAGACAAAACATCCAAGAAAAGGTTATTCAGTAACTGCCGCATGAAATGAATTTTGGGAATGTTACTCTGCAAGTGCAAATTTAGGTCTTCAAATAAATGAATTATATACAGCAAGAAAATAAACAAAGGCTTTGTTCAGGTTTGATGACAAAAACATGAAGATTCTTTCTTCTCTAGAAAGAATTTCACTAGGTTTACCAATGAGAATTTCTTAACGGTCCAAAAATAATTTCTCAGCACATACAGTAAACGTTCTTGCTTCCAAAAGCAGTCAATCACAAAGCAGTATTTACAAAGAGAAGTCTGACTAATTCATATTGCACTTATTCTACTAATAGCAGACTCAGAAAGGAAAAACGAAATAGCGCTCTTGATTGGCCAAAACATACGATAAACGTCACCACTCAGGCCCAGCTCTGACGCAATTGAGACAGATATGGATGAAAACTTCGTTCAGCATTAAAATAAGTGAAAAAACCGGAGAATTTCGAGAAAACCCGGGAGTAGGAAATAACTTCTAAAAACCTGGGGTCTCCGGTCAAAAGCCGGCGAGTTGGCACGTCTGCAACTGGTAATTAAAATACATTTTTTAATAGTTTAAATATACTTGAAGTTCAAAAAAGTACATTCATATTGCAGTTAATAATTAAATATTATTAATTCAAAGCTTATAAAAAGCATGAATCATTAGAATTTCAGTTAATCCACAGTACTTACTCGTCAGAATTTTTTGACTTCTCATTAAATGAAGGTAAAGGATTCTTTTTATAAGTTTCTTCTAAGGATTCTAAGATACCACTTATTTCTTCCAAGAGGGTTGAATCTTTGTTATGAAACTGAGCTTCAGTTATAAACAGGCACCGCAAATGAGACACAAAAAATGATACTCGGCTAGAATAATTAACAAAAGAAAGTCAAATAATAACACATAACTGTAAACAAAAAATGCGAATATTAACAATAAAAATAAGAATTTAACTTTTTATAGTTTCACATATCCTTTTTCCAAGCACAGTCATTGTGAAAAACTTTTTTTTAATGTTAAAAATGGTGCTCAATTCAGAGTGTTTTTTATGTACATTTCGTGTATACAGCACAAAAAAGATTAGAAATTAAGACAAACATTGTAACATATAAATCACATAGAGCAACAAGAACGCAAAGAAAAAACATAGATTAGAAATTAAGACAAACATTGTAACATATAAATCACATAGAGCAACAAGAACGCAAAGAAAAAACATAGTAATATTTATTCCATTTGTTCCTCTCTGATTCATTCATCCGAAGGTATGAAAATTTTTTTGCTCTGAAATAGCTCTTCAGTGCCTCGTTTTGACCACAAGTGACGTTACTGTAAATTAATGAAGATCCTTTTCATAATGTTGTATTTCAATCTTCTACTTAGACACTGCAGTCTGTTACCGGCCAGGAACCAGTCAGTTTACCGCATCTTGATCTATTGGATACTATTTCTCCATCTATTAACTCCCAAGACCTCAAAATATTTTGCTATTTTATCTAACCATTTTGTTCTAGGTCTTCCTCTTTTTCTTTTACCCTCTAGTGTTTGGAAGGTTATTTTTTTAATAGGACTTTCATCGATACACATGTCCTAGCCTCCTTATTTGAGAAACCTTGATCATTTTAACCATGTTAGGTTCATTGTATTTTAATTGTAATTCCTGTTTGTAACAAATTCTCTATCCAGGTTCAGGGCTCAGTGCAGGTCATTGTAAAAAAAAGTAGTGAAAAGAGAGAGACTAAAAGTTTTTAAAAAGTGATAAATAGTGACTTAATTCAAAATAGGGTTAATATTCAGGCAACATACTTATAAGCTTAAAAATATACAACTCAAAGGAAAAAAATTGGTTTAGAAACATTTGTTTTAATTTACTGTTGTTGAATTTTTTTCAAAAAAAAATTAAATAAATATTTTCTAATTTTTCCTAACTAAAGAAAAAGTTGCATGTTAATATTATATTAAAGAAGCAGTGAAAGTATACAACCAAAATATTGTTGCTATTATGAAATGTCAACAATACACATTTATTAAGATGTGCTTCTCTTCAGGAGTAAAAAAATGTGTTTTTAAACACGGTGTGAAGAGCTGAAAAAATGTTAAATAACTATTATTGCAAAAGAAGGGCACTTTTACAATAGGAATGGCACAAAACGAATGTGGCAAAAAGTGATTGATGCAATAAAAAATTACAATACCGTATTAAAAGTATCAAAATTAGAAATATGTGCGAAACTGGACACATGTGATCATTGTCTTAAAGAGGTTAAATTTGAAATATGCATACGTAGTATCATTGTATAAAAATAGAATTGAAAAAAATAAAAATGGTTGAAAAACTCTCAGGGGGGAAAAAAAGTGGAATCACGATAGAACCAAGCGTGTTAAAAGCAATTTTTGATAAATCATTAACAAATTGTCGTTCCTGAAACCTGAAATTCGAGAGTCATAACAACACTACATTAATCAAAAATATAACATTGTAATATCAATTTAAATGAATTGTAATATCAAATGACTATATACAAGAGAACAAAGTCTCTCTTTCCCTTCTGCCATATGAACAGCTGTTAAGAGTAGGAAACTGGCATGGAGTGGAGAAGCATAAATCAGAAAAGAATGAAGAAAGTCAGGGTGGGGCCAGTGATAGGTCAGCTGTAAAACAAATGCTCCCCCCCCCCATTTTTTCCAGGAAATATGTCTCTCCACTTGTCATTGATGCCTCTCCACTCCCCTTTTTTCTTCAGCTGGTTGTTAAAAACATGTGAATGTTAGATGAATAAAGGATGCTGATGAGCTTGGGATAACCTTGAATAATCTTACAATTAAAATGTTCAAGAAGAATTTCAAACTTTCAACTGACGGTCAGTGAAGAGGGGAAAAAGCAGTGTGTGAGAATTTTAGACAGGGATAAAAGAAAGATTGTCCTAGGCTGAGTAAGTTTAAAAAAAGAAACCTGATTTATGAAAGGAAAAAGGTAAATGCTAAATATAGAAATTTGTTTTAAATGCTTGGGAGAGCGATTTTTATTGCTGTTTTTTTTTCTTTTCATTGCTCACATTTGTGTCTGATTTCAATCATCTTCCTCAGCTTATAATTGAGCTTGAGTAAGAAATTGTTAGTTTTTATTTAACTATTTAAATTATATACATATGCGTATTCAGAGCATGTTTTAAGTCTGTCATCGTCAATCATCTTCCTCAGCTTATAATTGAGCTTGAGTAAGAAATTGTTAGTTTTTATTTAACTATTTAAATTATATACATATGCGTATTCAGAGCATGTTTTAAGTCTCTAATCAATACCTGCGTTAGTATGATAAAATTTGGTGCGGCGTATCCGGTGAAAAGCTTTTTTTTGCCAGCAGATTCTTGCGGGCGTATAGAATAGGGCAGCGTTGCGCTGCAAAATTACGATTATGCAATTAATAATTTTTATAAATAAAAATATATTATTACTCATTTGCTGGAAGCAAATTTAGTGAGTAATACACATCAAATTTTGTTTTAAAACTACCTTAGAATTTTATTCATTATGATTTTAAATGATTATCATTGTGATCATCAATTTCTAATTTTGTTTTTATTTAGTTTTCACATTTAGTTAAAATAGTTTTAAGCATTAGATTTCAGAATTAGCATGGTCTTCTTCAAATAGAACATCTATTTTTTACAAACATATTTCATTTGTTCTAAAGGTGTTCACTTCACTAAGGTTTTACTGAATTAAAATTGTGCACAAGATTAAAATATGTTGTTCTTAAACCAGTAACATTACTTAAATATTAAGAAACTAATGAGATTTCCGAGACAACAATTATTTTTTGAAGTTTTTTAAGTTTCTATAAATATGGTGTCGAACAGAAATGAGTAATACCCGGTAAAACTAGCTGTGCTCTGTCCTGGGAAATAAAATTCTTTTGCCCGGTATGGGCAATAACTGGGTCATGAAAATCTAGACAGGTAATTGCTGTGTACTCTATCTTTAAATTAGTGCCTCTCTAGTCTGGTAAGTTGGAGTCTTCATTCACATTGATATCTATAAGCATCCTCTTAACATAAAGTTCTTGCACAACTACCTAGTACAACATTATAAATTCGTTTTTTGTGTTTCACCATCATAACTTCTGCTTTCATTCCTGGTCAACAAAAAACCGAAAATTGCACTACGTCACTACAAAAAGTGTAATATTTTAAGTTATTATGACATATAAATTAAAGTAAATGACATAGCTTCTAACTGAAAATAAAATGCGTTCATTATACTCGGAATCTGAATTTCATTGATTATATTAATACTAATTTGATATTTAAGTAGGCTGTGATATTTAATTGTGATTGTGATATTTAAGTAATAATTTTTATACCTGTTAACCTTTAAAACAAAAAGCTATTAATATTACATTAACATCTATTAAAATTTTTCCAACCTGGATTAAATTTGCTTCAAGAGAGAAAGGAATAAAGATTTTTTTTCTCGAACATTTGATTACTATTAGATGTATGCTCACCTATCATAAATTGCAGGGAGCTCACTATGTAATTCAGTATTTATGACTTCAAAAAGATTACGTGCATCTTCAAGTTGTTCTTTAGCCTGAAAAAAAATCAATGATAAATTGATTTCTAAGACATGTACATATTTTTTCTTAAAATAGCTGAATTTCAACTAACATTGTCTGAAAAAACAAATTTTTAGTCAGATGGGTCACCTTCCTTTTTTATGCTTAAAATATGTTCATATTTTTACAAAAATTAATAAAACTTTAGGGTGGGGTATTTGTATTTTATATCTTTTAATTTAATGCCACACCTAACATTATTACAGATCAATAAGGTTTTTTCCAGCATAATTCCCTGATAATTCCAGGTGGGTAGCCACCCTGTAATAGTGATGTCCCACAAGATAAAAAATATCCAATGTGTGTGAAAATTCAAGATTCTGTAAAATTTTAAGAAACTAAAAATCGCGTTAGAAGTTTGGTAGTTGCTTCAGTTAGGTTGCAATTCCAATATTTCGATTCACAATTTTTTTTAAAGGCTTTTTTAAATTCTTAAAACTTCTTCTTTAAAATATTGAAATTATAGCAACTCATTTACTGACAGGTGGAAAGTCCCTTATCTGGAATCATTGAGACTTCCGGATTGAGAGAAGTCCGGAAAATAGATTCTTCCAGATAATAAAAGTAAATAAACATCAAAATAAGAAATGTTCAATAAAATATAACAAATAGAGGATAACTCAATACAATCTTTTCTTCTTATAGATTGAATGACTTTCAGTTAGCTAAAGAATGTTTTGTACAGTAAAATATATAAAAAAAAATGTTAAAAAAGTCATCGGGTGATTATTTGAACTTTCCCATTCCTGAAATAAGTCATGCTTCTCTTTCTCCCCCCCCCCCATTTGATATTGGAAAATTAGCAGGGCAGATAATCAGTTAAAAATAACATTAAAAAACAAGTTTCAAATTCCAAAAGTAAATTAATCATATTTAAAAAATAATAATAATATAAAACAAGGAACAGAATTGAGCAGATTTTTTAATGCAATGCAACCATCTATAATTTAAAGGCAAATAAAGCATATATATCTGCTGGTGTTCTTTACAAACACTATTAATATTTAATTTCGTTAATATTCATAGTTTATGCTTTTCAAAGATTGTTATTATTTTAACTTCTCTTGCTATCCAACATTTTTTTAGTGTGTTTATTGAAGCAGAATATATGTATAGCTATAGAAAAAGCTGCAAGAAATAATAAAAATAAATTTTTTACTAACACTTTTTTTTAAACAAATCTTAAGTGAAAAAAAAAAGATAGAGGTTTTGTTTCTTTTAATTGCTAAAAAAAATCTGGAAAATATTCATCTCCAGTAAACAGACCTCGAAAATCTGGACTTCTGAAATCCGGAAATTTCTCAAATCCGGACTCATACGTCCAGTTCCTAAGAAAAAATTTTCACAAAAAAAAACAAAACTGTCTTAAAATAAAAATTTTAATGCAAGAGCACAAAACCACAACTCTTCTTTAATAATGAAGCAGTAGATGAAGAGGTAGGGGTGGAGAGTGAATGAAACTTCATAGCTGATAAGGAAATTCCAGTCATTCTTATCAGCTCTGTATAAATAACAAAGAATATAAAGGGGAATCCCCTCCTCCTGAAGGGGAAAGTCTATAGACGTCGGAGGCCTACACATGCGCGTTTAATCGCGAAATCTGCCTGGCGAATTCGAAACTTTGATAATTCTATCAAATTAAGTAAGGTATCTAAAATCTGGAAATTTCGAAAATCCGGACCTTCCAAACCCCCCAGCAGTCGGGATTTTCGAGGTTGCACTGTATTATAATAAGATTTAGGTTTAAGAAGATAGTAATAAAATAATCAAATAGAAATTTTTAGTAAGAAGCATTAAAATCTTAAGTTACCTTTGAAATTTTTGACTCCTCACGTCTCTTCATGGTTTCAAGATTTTGTAAATTATGTCTGCAATTATCATAGTCAAGCAGCTTTCGATTCCGCTTAGAAATTTTGTTCTGAAATTAATTTAAAATAATAAAGAAAATTAAGCACTCCAACAGTATTTTGCACACACTCTTTCCTCAATGAACCATGATTCTAGATAGGTAAGTTGTAACAAATACAAATGGGTAAACATATACACACATATAAATTCATTAACAATATTTACCAAAAGTTTTGTTTAGATGAATTATAGCAAGTAAAGTTTTAATAGAGATTTAAAAAAAAATATATATATAAATTTTCCAAGTATCTGATTAATTTTTCGTTTAGTCAAATTCCAAGTAACCAGATTTTCCGGAGCTCTATTATGTTCAGAAAGTAGTTATTTTGTTACAAATAATCCTATAAAAGTGCCCTTGTACTTGTCAAAACTGCCCTTTCTGATAATTGCATCTTGCTTTAAAAAAAAAAAAAAAAACTGATCACAGAGTCTCAGAAAATAGATACCAAGTTATATATATTGTAGAATTGGCAGAGAACTCTTTAATGAAGTGAAGGCTGCAAATACTAAAATTTTTCGAATTCTCTGTAGAATAGATTTGCTTTAAAAATGTGATTGACTTATGACAAATATGTCACTTTGTATTATAAAAGCTTTTTATCTTCGCTATGCATCTTTTTAATTTATTTATTTGAGTTTAGGTAAAAAAAATTGCTTTGATATTTTATTTCAATTTGATTTAATTTACTTAAAAGAGTGCTTTTCGATTCTGATTATTCCATAATTTTTATATACAATTGAAAATATTCGTTAAATTATATGTGTAATAAAGAAATTAATTTGTTCAAAAAAAAAACTGACAACTAGAAAAAGAAATTTGTACATTGAAACTAACTAAAAAAGAAATAAGAAAACGGGAGAACACAAAATAGTACACAAACTTGGAACAGATGTTTAAAGGTAGGTGAGAAATGTAAAGAAACTTTTCTCCCCTTAACTTAAAAAGGTGAGACCTAAAACAATAAAACTCATCCCCCTGTAACTTGCTCCTCTGTCTTAACTGCGGAGGAGATTCCTTCCCCTATTCTTGCGCTGAAAGCGTCACATGCCCACCAGTGGGACCCAAAATCAGATGTGACAACTGCTGTCACAGCCCCCTGGAAAAGGTTAATTGGGGGCTGGACTCCCAGAATATTATATTTCTATTCGGTATTCATTGAAATTTGCTGGTCTAAAAGTAGTTCATTATTCGGTTCATTGGAGAATAAAAAATTATGTCTTTATCTTAACTGTAAATTTATTCATTTTAAATATTTTTTTATCAATAATTCCTTAATTATTATATTTATTAACCAGAATAATAAAGCACAAAGTCGTTAAATCATCAAGCTAAGTTAACGAAATTCTGCGCAAATATTGCATAATAATAACAAAAATAATAGTTATCAGTTACAAATTTATGACAAAATTTTTTTGGCATAGGATGTTCAAAAACATTTTCTTCAATTTGCAATTTATTGACAGTCCCTCAAACCTCAAAAAATTTTAAACTTCATTGATATGTATGTGAAATAGCATGATCTAAATACTTCTAATTTTATGAGTTGATTCTCTAAGTATTTTTGACTAGTATAAAAAAATGCGTTGGTATTGAAGTGTTTCCATTATTTTGTGCAATCCATGTACATATAGTGTATTCACGTACATGTACTATGAAATAATAATGTATGTGTATACAACGACCATGTAAAGTAACGACATATATATATATGTAACTTTATACTGTGTACGCGTCTTTAAACATATAACGCACGTATACATTCCTAAACGTACTTACAATATATGTTTGTATTTATACACATATATACAATTAATGTGTGGAACGGGCATTCATTATACGCAAGAATGTGCACAAAAATTTAATTTTATTTTTATTACAGAGAAATATTATAATTTTATAATTATTACAGAAAAAGGAACATGTCGAACGAGGAAGCAATTTATTTGAAAATTGTTTCGTTAATTTATTCATGATATATAAGTTTTGCATCACCAATGATTATTATATCTATAACATACTTTGCTTTTTTTATATATATATTTATAAAACGCCTTATTTAATTATGACCTATCGGTTCTGTATTAATGCATTTGTTATTTATTATTTGTTACTATAACTATAATATTTTATTATTGTTATGTCTACATAAGTTTGGAATTATTAAATAATCTTTTTTTTAGAAAAAAGTATTTTGCATCATTGTATATCCTACATTTATTGTATCATATATATTACAAATGGGGTAGATAATTAGTTGCATTTTATTTATTTTAACAAAATAAGCAGAGATTAAAAGTTTATTTTACAATGAACTGCTTTAAAACTCCTGCATTCATTGAGACTGCTCTCATCATAGAAATTTCAGAGTCAGAGAGAGGTAAATATGCAGACCCTTCCTTTTGAGTACAAGATAAATTTGTATTTTACAAGATATTTATTTTGTTTTTTTCATTAATCACATTATTAAACAAAACAAAAATAATTACTGAATTTTAAACCATATTTTCACTTATAAATCAAAGATTTTACAGCAAAGGAAGTCATGCTGATGAAAGAAAAGACTATTCACCCCCCCCCTAGAATAAAGCAAATTGATGCAAAAAGAGAGAATTTTTCTATGGAATAAAAAGTTATAAACAGTCAAATATAAAACTAATAATAGTAGAAGCATGCCATCATGTCCAGAATGAAGAGTAGAAAATAATTGTGAGAGAAATTGTTAAATGTCTAGATGACTAAATAATGGAATTCTGGAAACTTTTTTTCACAAAATCTTGAATGAGGGGAAGCATGCAAAAATAATAATACTTGAGTTTATTGCGGAATTATTATTATTTTACCAAACTGTATAATTCTGAAAGTAAATGCATTCTTTCCCATTGCAGGGAGAATTAATTTAACAAAAAATTTATATGGATCATCGATGCCGAAATGAAGAACTCAAAATAATGGGGCTAATTTCAGATATGTTGAAAAAACGTAATTTATATGATAATAAAATGGAGTTTGTGCTCATTTTTTACTAAATATAAAACATATATTCATTGCATACACATTAAACATTCATGTACGCACAATCAAGCGTTTAGTGTAATTTCAAAATTTGTGCTTTAACATACTAGTTTTATAACTCAAAAAAAAATAAGGCTACTTATTTAAAAACACTTCAACAAAAGAATAAATGCCTTAAATTGATTAGCTATACTCATACACAAGAATCTCAGAAATTTTTTGTTTTGTTTAATGAGTAATCAAAAACCCATTCTGAAAAAAAAAATATATTTAAGATGTGAAAAATAAACATTCAATGTCCTGAAATGCATTTAAATGTGGCATATTGTTTTATGAAGCTAAAAAATCAATCACTAATTGTAGTATCAGCGGTTTGTGAGTATAGACTTACTGAATAAACACAAAAATTAAACTTAAAAACATTTATTAAAAATTAGGAAAACAAAACATAAACAGATGATCTTAGGCCGGACAACCTTGTTTGTTGCCAGTTAGAATATTAATTGCTCCTTTTAGGAAGGAGGTAACTACCAAAAGCAATGCGATGACAGCGCCATCTCTAAATTAACTCAAATATTAGGCAAGACGATAAATTCTGATATTACACTAACAGTGGGCACTTTTATTTGAGGAATTTAATTTCCTTAAAAAAAATTCTAGGTAACAGAGAAAAGTGAGTTTAATCAATAGACAACTAATCAAGTCTAACTATGAATTATCGATATTGCACTAGATCTACAATACTGAGCTGATAAGATCATGCATGCACTACATTACGACAAGCATAAACGGATAAACAGATAGGTATAACTCAATGCTCCCAAAATGTGCAGAAAACTTTTCAGTTCTAAAACAATCAGGACATTACAATATGTTCCAATTACTAAAACATGAAATAAAAAGTTACAATTAGGCCATTCAGACTTACTGATTGGGAATCAATCATTTGTACAAGCAATGTAAGGCTGCAGTATTTTATATGCTAGAATACAAAGATATCTATAAAAAAAATAATAATGATTCACGTACGTCTGCTACAACAGCATGATTTTAATCATAATTATTTAAAAAATTTCTTGTATCAATTTATAGTACTCTTTTTTGCCTATTAATGTTTCTGTGGTGATATAATTTTCAAATATAAATAAATATGCAACTAATATTTAAATAACTAATGAAAATAAAGAGCTATTAATTAGGTTTACAAAAAGAACAAGTGAAAAAAAAAGAGTATAAGTGGAAGAAACATACTGTACAATCTGGAAACTGAGACACATGTGTAGCTACTGGTGATAGCAACTCATCATTTATCTTGTCACAAAACTCATCATAATTTTTATTTAGTACCTGAAATTAGAAATTATGCTGCAAAATTCATATAAGTCAATTAATCTCAATTCAGGCAAGACATGCCAGATGACCATTTCAGTTATAATGAATTAAACAGCAACTTAGTATAGTTGGAAAATAAGAACCAGTTTTACATGTAAAAATATTTAATAAATTTTAATTTTCTTCATGCAAAATTTTTTTTTCAAATAAATGAAGATAATTTAAAATTCCTACATACAAGGATGAGAGTGGTCAGAAAACAAAAAGGAGCAAATCTTAAGATATGTAAAAAAAAACATTTTAAAAATGTGGAATGTACAATATTCAGAGTTCTTGCTCCAGCACAGGACTCGGTTATGTGTAAATAATACTATGTTAACTTTTTCATATAATAATTTCCAATTTAATTCATATTTCACAGTCATCGAATAAAAATATATCTCTGTAAGAGCTTTGCTTCCAGAGTTCAGCCACTGAGTAAATGACTGAGTCTTATGACTGAAGATTACTTACCTAGTATAAATTTCTAACTAGTTTTGGAACATTTATATTGTCAAATCTATTCTAATATCTTGATTCTTTACCACTTTTTTTACCACTTAAAAAATTGTTTTGATTCCTGATGAGCCACAGCGAGAAGTGGGAATAAGCTCTAATAGAATAAACACATTCAGACCTCGATATAAGGTCATCCGCATATAAGGTCACTTTTCCAAAGTTCCGGCTTACTGAATAGGAATTCTCTGTTAGATTATCGGATATATGGTCAAGTTTTAAAAATCGCCATCGCTTATAAGGTCATTTTTATCTGAGGAGAGGTGGGCTCTTTTCTAACAAAAGCCTATTTAACTAAGCCTATTTAATTAAGGCAATTATCCCTCTCTCTCGAGTTCTAGGAAAATGTTACAGCCAACGAATAAGCTAGAATTTCTGAAATTGTTTCACGAGTTGAAGACAGTGAGGTAAATGACAGTGATCCTGAGACTGTAGCTGTAACCCAAGTAGAAGCCTTCAATGCAATAAATGTCATATGAATTTTTTTTGCAAACCATGAGGGAGCTGAGGAACATTTTGAGAAGTTACAAAATCTAGAAAACATTGTTCGAAAAAGGAAACCAAAAACGAGAGACCTGCATAAGTGATTATTTTAAATAAGGTATGATGATGTAATGTATGTACACTCTGAGGAAATTTGTAAACAGCTTTATTTTAAATAAAATTTATCTTAAAAATTTAACTTTCTTTAATTCTTTACTAATTCTGTTAAAATTTATAGACTTAAATATTTAGTTTATGGCCAATCGTTTTTGTTAGTATTACCATTTTTAAAAAATAAAGCTTGAAACAAAACAAAATATACTAATATTATACTCTTATATATTTATCTAGACCAAGGTGAAAAGAATGAGAGAAATAACAGTCTTATAAGTCTTTTTCGTTTTAAATTAAAATATAGTTTTTTGAAAATTACACAATTACCAATAAAATATATATGATATAGCAATTAAAACAATATTTCCACAATTAACAGGTTTTTTTCGGAAGTGCAGATTTGTAACATACCACCTTTTAACAGTGACCGCTTCAATTACACTTAAGTCATAAACTAACTTAAGGTGTTTTTCAAAAGTGTTGAAATTATTTTTTCATTTGGAGCAAAGTTCGTCTAATTTTCCTAAAAGTATGTGAAAAACTTAAACTGACGCTTACCCTTAATAAAAGCATTTGACAAATTTTATATAGCACTATTTGAGCAAAATATGTTTTTTGCTACAAATTGTTGGATGATGGGGTAAGTGGAAGCAATAAATTATAATTTATCATTGCTCTTATATGTTAAATTTAACTTTAACATTAGGGAATAAAAAAATTAATTTGAGAAACATGAAATTTTCATTATTTAATGAAATGTAATGAATGTATGTAACGAATTTTAACAACAACATCCACCAGATTAATATTAACTCTAAATAAGAGTTTCTATCACTTATATAAGGATAATTAAGATATACTGACCTCAGTTTTAATCAAAAATTGATCAAGTCCTACCCAACAAGGCTCATATAATTCATTAACAGTTTCAACGAGACTTCTACGAGCTGCTTGCATAGCTTAAAAAAAAGAAAAAGAGTAAAACCTAATTCGGCACATCAGTAAAAGATGGGATATAAGTGAAAACAAGGTACAAATAAATATTGGTAAAGCCATAAAAAAATCCTAATACAAATCATATCCTCATGTGAAAAAAAATACACCAAGGTTCCCACTCAATTCCAGAAAAGAAATTCCCTGACTTTTTCAGGTATATTAGATTATCAGTCTAAATTTATAATAATTGATCAATTAATATTAACTTACTGTTTCTCTTTTTGCTTCAATATTTGTTATCAAATAATAAAGATAATAAATATTTCAACAATACAGCAAAATGTTAACTTTTTCTTGGAACGGTTAATTGCTGTTACATATTCCATCCCTTCCCTCCAATTTTAGTCATTAGAATTTTTTAAACCAAAATACAAGATCTAAAGAAATAACATTTTAACAAATACATATATCTACAAAAAATTATGCCTATTACTACACTCAATGCTTAAGTTTAAAAAATATTTCAGTTTGTTTTATAATATTAAAAAAAAGACTTATTTTTAGGAAGGCTAATTCAGCCACGTGAACATGCTGAATGCCACGCTAATTTTACATGGCTTGCCCGTCTGGCCAAAATGATTTTCTCAGTATATATTGCATTAATTTCTTCAAACCATTTTAGTAACAATATTAGAAAAAAATTTAAAGCATTAAAAATTTACTCGAATCATGTGTTTCTAACAATCTTGGCTTTACCACCAGTCACCAGTGACCTCGTGGCTCTACGAACAAACTCAGTGCTGGTCACCAGTGGCTCCCATGGCATTCAACGTGTTAAACTGTTTGACTCATTATTCACTACAACTGCGGCACACCTAATTTCGATGTGCGGTTCGCAAGCTTCTGAACACAATAATTAATAAAAAATTTTGGAAAAAATTTGACTGTTTTTTTATTGCTTTTTCTGCCGTAATTGCTTTGGAATTTCGTATGATTTTTTAAAAAGTAAATACTTTTAATATGACATTAAGATATGCGAATTTCGAATTTCAGTAATCACTTTTTGCTTCACTATATTTTTGCTGATTTCATCTTATATCCAAGTGATTTTACAACCCTTTTTTTACCAGTTTCTCTACAAATTTCAACAGGGATTTTGAAACTCCGATAAATTTAATACGATATTACAACTTGTGAGTTTCAAATTGTGCATTTAATATTTCGTATATTTTAATTGCGCACTTTTTGGATCTTTATTTAAGCCACTTTCATTGCAAAATGAAATGATTTTTTTTAAAACTTTTATTTAATTTTTGCTATGCTTTTTCACATGGTTTTAAAAATTCTGAATTTTATAATGACTAGCGAATTTTAAATAATTAATTATTGACACGCATTATCTGATTTATTTTTCTGACTTCATAGTAATACAAGCAATTCCTTTTCTTTTTGCAACTACTCCATTGTTTTTCCACATGATTTTGACGATTCCATATTTTCCCCAACTACGATATTATTACGACATGTGAGTTTTTAATCCAGCATTTAAACAGGGTTGCTACTCGAATGGATGAACGAAATTTCCAGATTCTTCCGACATATTTCTAAAAATTCCTGTCTAATAGCGCAATATGCACTAACAGTGCTGTGGCCAAAATATACAATGAACCAGAAAAATATAATATTAATAATTTATACACTATATGGTACATTTTATTTCAAATAAAAAATATAACACCACAATACAGAGAAATAATGGTAGTAAAAACAAAAGAAATATGTCATATAAAAGAGAACAAAAATATTTTTAAAATTAACATTTTTTATAAATTAGCCAACACAAAAAAAAACATTTTTGTTTTAATTCTGCAATTTGGAAGTCAATAGCAAACACTTCTGATGAAAAATCCTTCATTAATTTTTATTTAATTATATATTCCCTGTTTAATTTATACTTCACACCTGCATGATGCAAAAATTGAACAAGTGAAATTTTTAAAGAAAAAAAAAGGATGTATCTCAAGCCGTGCAAATTAAAATAAAATGTTATTTATATATTTTAAAATACTAAAGAGATGAAATTATTAAAGATTTACATGCTACTAATATTAATATGTAATGCAAATTAAATAAAAAGTAAAGTTTTCTGAGCTTCTTCCAAATAATAAAAATAAATGCTCACAAAAGAAACTAATAAATATATAAGCATTATGAATTCAATAATAATTAAAATCATATGACAACTGGATAGGAGTTTTCTCTTAGTGATAATATTTTTTCCTTTTTTTGGTGAGTGTGCGTATTGAATAAAATTTGTTAAAATGAGAGCAAATAAAAAAAAGATCTGACCCTTTATTATGAAGAAAAAATCAAAACATCATTACAGAGAGAAAAACATTAAACATTTACGACTTTACAAAACAAAAGCATTCCAAAACTTTTAATTAAAATATTAAAATTAATAAGAATTAAACCCAATTGAAAGTAAAATTATGCAAAAAGTAAGCTTTATATAGTCTTTCAATCTCAAACTATATGTTAAAGAGTAAATCCAGTAAACTAGAACAGAATATTAAGAAAAAGAGGGGAATTTATTTTACTCTCCATTATAAAATAAACAATAAATTAGAGATAAACATAATTAAGAGATATAAAAAAAATTTATGAAACTAAAAGCAAGGCAACAAAAACATATAGGGAAAAAAAGGAAACCACAAATTATGTGAAATAAAAAAAGGAATAAAAAAACTTAACATATCTCTCTATTTATTAAAAAAATAAGTAAAAATTTGGAATAGATATCAAGGGTCAATCCAGGTATAAATCTGAGCCTTTTCACAACACTCAAATCCAGAAAAACGTCCCATTCACAAAATTCTAATTTGTAAAAATGGTCCCAAAAAAAAAAAAAACCGGTTGGAAACGAGGTGATTTTCTGACAGCAGCATCAAGAATCGAAAGCGTCTAGCTTAAATTCCTAATCAGCGGGTCATCAGGGGTCTGTCTAGATCTTTCTGAAAGGTATCTATTTTCTGAACATTTAGACATAATTTGTGAAAAATTAAAAATTATATTACAATATCAGGATCAAATATGGATTTATCGTTTCTTAAAAGATATACAAATAAAATTTTAGGAAAAAGTATTTTGTGAAACTACCATTTTTCCTAAAGTTGAATTTGTGAAGATACCACTAAACGGTAGTAAATTCGGCCTGGACACACCCCTGGTCATAAAAGCGTGTAAATAATATTTGAATTTGAAAAACGTTAAGGAGAAAAATTGCGAATGAAAGACGAAAAATTAATCATCCAACATGGAGAAGTTACGGTGGAATTAATCACAAATTGAACGGATCAAAGAGGAGTAACCCAAATTTGAACATAGTAATAACATTGCATTAAAAATATCAGAAGTTGAAAAATTTGAGAATTTAAAAAGGGTTGACTACCGAAAAAACTGTCCCTAAACATCATGAACTTAACATTGAATTGAAAAACCATGTCTGAAGAATCGAAAAAACGATTTAAAACTTCGGGAAAAAACTTATCAAACCATGTGAAATTATATTGGATTACAAACTGAATGCGACAAAAAATAATATTTCAAAATCGAAATACAAAATAGTTACTGATAAAAAAATAGTTACTGATAAAAATATGTTCTTTATCAATTAAGAAATTTTCAGAAAACAATTTTCATTTTCTAAAAAAATTGCCCTTAAAAATAAAACCTGGATCGACCCCAAAACATTACAGTTAAGTGTTACAATTTCCAAGTGGATCAGCAATTCCCATGCTTTCTGCGAGTTTTTAATAACGTGCTTTATTTAATTCATTTATCAAACCTTGGTGATAGAGGAAAATTAACAACAAAAAAAAACAATAATTTATAAGGGATAATAAAATACTATTTATCCCAATAATTATTAAGAATAATATAATGTAATAAAAATTAAGAATAGACAATCTGAAGTATATCCATCCTTCTACCTGTTATGGATCCTAGCAACCATAAACCCTTTCCAATTGAAAGCCTTTCCCATTTGGCTCCATGCAAAATGGGATAAAACAATACTCTTACTTAGGATATGTGTTTTACGGTAAACGCAAAGGTCGCAAGTTTGGCTATTGCCAAATCTAACTCCTCCAGATTTTGGCTCAAAAATTTTTAAATTACTTGAGTTTTTAGACAACTTCCAAATTCTCTGACTTCTCCAGGTAGCGTAGCAACCCTGTTTAAACAACCATTTTTTGATACAATTTTATGGCATATTTCATCATCAATCCAAATTATTCTTCCAATGTTTTCTCGGCAGTTAGAGCCATATATTCCGATAATTTAATACAATGCAAGGCAGAATCCCAATATCTTAATACAATTACAGTAATTGCAACATAAAGAACTCGAGAAGTGGGAAAAATTGAAATTTCACTGTTAGTAATTCTTTTGTAACTTAGGTAATTTTTTCAACAAAAAAAAGAAGTTTCCCATTTAAAATTCATGAAACCTTTAATAATTCAAGAAATAATATCTGAAGCATAATACCAAATAAATATTAAATCTTACTTTGTACTATAATGGTTTTATTTTAATTTTTGGTTTTTCTTTAAACCCTATAAATTTTCTTCAATTAAAATATTTAATTTGAATCTATATTACTCATCAAAATATGTATTTATTGATTTATCTCTTTCATACTTTCTTTCTGTAAAGATTGAGATTTTAAAAAAAAGTTTGAATTTATTTTAAAATGATTAATGACATGAATTAAGTGACATGACAAAAAAATAACACTTCTTTTATCGCATTTTTTATATCTTTTTTAGACATCAATTTTTGATAAAAAGGGGAAAAAATTTTAAAAAAGGGATCAGTTTTTTCATTTTTGAATGAATTTTAATAAACAAAAGTATTTTTATAAATTAGAAGTATTTAATTTTCTGAAAATATTACTGATAAATTCCAGGTTTACTGATAAAAAAAATTAGCACTATTGTTTATATAAAAAATTTTGAAAATATTACCGATAAATTCCAGGTTTACTGATAAAAAAATTGGTGCCTATGTTTACATAAAAATTTGTTATTTGCCGTTAACATGTTTTAATATGTTAATATTTCCTTTGTTATTCAACCCTCTCTGGAAGTCACCCTTCACTCAAAAAGGTTATGCAGCCCTATTATACACATTAGATTTTCTTATTATTTTTGTCATTTTCTCCCATTCAAATTCCAAAAAAAATTCCAAGGATTTTTCAATGACTTTCATGAACCTATAATCAAATTTTTCAAGGACTTTCTCAGTAATACTTAGCATGCTAAAATACATTTCAAACAGATTGTACTACATTGAAGAATATATAAAATTTATCAATTTTATATGGTTTAAACTGCTGGTAATTTTTTAATATGTGTAGCCCATAGCATGATTATTGCGCACCCGATTTCATAGCTACATTGTGGTGCAAATCAGTTTGGAGATTTAAAAAAAATTTATTTAAATAATTAATTGAAAAATAGTATTTAACATATTTTTCAATTTTAAAAACACAATCTTTTTATTATCCCAGAATATCAGCAATGTATTTTGCACATAATAAAATCTTTTGTAATACAATATTTAGACAGATAATAGACTAAGATTTACTAAATTTTATTTTATTTAAAATAGATCCTAAATCACAAAGCATGATTTTTTTAAATTTTGTGAACACGATTCACTATGCCTAGAATTTAAAACAGTGTGTATACAAATCAGGATATGTTACACGCAAATCAAAGTACATGAACAAAGCCTTGAGGATCGCGAAAATTACGTAACACAACGCATGGCTTGCAAATTGATATGCAATCTGTTTTGTAAATCGAAACTATATGAATAACAAATACAGTTTGAAAAATGCACAAAGTAACAGGGTATAAATAGCGAGAAATGATACATAAACCACTTTAATGCGATCAACGATTTCTTAATGGATTCTGTCAACATGGTCCCAATAGTTTGGTCAGCAGAAAAGTTCAATGTTTGTATGTTGATTTCACTTTTTCCCTAGTTCATTATATCTTGAGAATTTTTCAAGTGATTTAAAAAATGTTTGACACAGTTATAAAATTTGTTTAACCTTGCAATAAATAACTTTAAGTATAATACATTTTTTATTATTTTACTTAATAATAATCGAAAAAATTTAGAATTTTAAAAGTACACAACCTTTTGCATGATTTTAAATAATGTAATTTTAAATAATAAAATTCAAAATTTGAGCAAAATCAATTGAATTTTTCCTGAGAAAAAGAGTATGTTCGACTTTTGTAAGAGTCGATTAATGAGTAACTATTTGACTGATTTAGCTCTAGTTTAAATTTTGCCATGCAAAATTTACATACTTTAAAATTATGTACCTTACAATTCAACATTTTTTAACTTTTATTAAATAAAAAAACAAAAGTTTACTAAAAGTTATATTTTGCATGGAATTATCTGCAGATAAATGAATTGTATAAAAGCAAACAATTGAATTTAAGCGAATTGCATGTAAGCAAACAATTTTCAACATGCTAAAAGCTCCTGAGATATGCTGAAATATGATTAGATCGAAATAGACTTGTGTTATTAAGGGTATCCTGTCTATTTTTTTAGCACTGCACACAGCTCTTAAAGATATATGAATTTAAAATGCATAAAAACTAAAATTTGTACCTTTTAAGCACTGATGGTAGTTTTTGAATTCCTTTTGCAATCTTAGGGCAGCATTCTAAAAAAAACATATATATATATATATATATATAATAACAAGCAAAAGTTTCTATTAGTTAGAAAGCTCTATTAGTTCTAGTTAGAAATTAGTTGTTTACAAGATTCCTTTATTGCAAGTATGCAGAAGTCTTTTTTTTACTATGGATCTTCAATGTTTAATTAGAAAATCTTGTCTGACAGATATTGAACTACAGACTTCAAGAACCCCTTTTTTACGGACTTGATTAGTGACTATTTAATTGTTCATCCACGCGGTTTTATCATTCGCATCGACTGTTACAGCTAGGTATTTTTACTGACTATTAAAAAACTCGATTTTTTAATGCTATATTATTTTGTAAGGCGAATTCTGAATCATGCAATTAAAGAACCACTTTTAAATGATATCGATTTATAAATTGATGTTATGATTTTATTGTAAATTTAATTGGATCTATTGGTCTTATTTCTGACAGTTATTGCTAAGCATTTCACAAGTTTTAAGAAATTTCAGTTTCTTTTTCAATATATTTCAATATGCAGATTTAAAATCGCAAAATTAAACTGTCACTTAGTGACGTGTTCTAGTCATCACAACTCCATCACTAACAGAGTAAAATGCACAATTTTTTGGCTATATTTGTATTCCCAGAAGAGTAAAGCAAAGAATATGCGAGTAGGACCGGGTGATGTAAGAAATTTTATATTGTGATAAATCGCCTGTTAAACATCGCGATATAGCGATTTAGCATATGCTTAAAAACTATGTATCACAAATCTTTAAAGCCATCAAAAATAAATAAAAGGAATGAATCTATTTCAAAAGAAAAAGTTAATTCTAAAAAATTATTCTATAACATCAATAGCATTACTTAATTTTTTCAATTAAATAATATAAAGATGTCTTAAAGTAAAAACAAACCCAAGCTTTATTTTAATTTTTTTTAAGTTAAACATGACAAAAAATTTATTGGTTTAAAAAAAATAATAAAACTGCAACAAAATATTTTACATACATGCTTTAAAAATTGAAAGAAAAAAACGAGAGCAAAAAACAAACCAAAGAAATTTTCACCTGAGTAAACGATGTTTTAAATTATTTGTTAAAATAAACCATGCTTTTAAAACATTGTTAGACATTATTTATTTAGAATAAAGTTGTATTAACTATGGTCAAATTCTATACTTAGTAAATGTAAAAATAAATTTAAGTTTTTAAATTTATTTATTATTACTTTTTTTTTTTGAAAATAAAATCACTTAGAGATTTATTTGTTTAAAAATGATACTGCCTATCCAAGACAGTTAAGATAACACTAGGTCAACTAAAAATAATTGACAAGAATCGTTAAATCCCGACAGACCAAAAAAAAAAAAAAAAAAGACAAAAAAATGCTATTNTAAAAAAAAAAAAAAAGACAAAATAATGCACAACGAAACGATCGCTGCTAAGTAGCAAAAGTGAAGCTGAAAATAATCTTCAAGAAACGTAAAATCCCTAAGACAAAATTGGCACATTAAGAAACTAACTACTTCTGCATTTCAAAGCTGATCCCTGCAAGAAACTGGGAGTTTTGATTCGATTAGCTCTTCGTCATTCAAAGTCACGAAACTAACTAAGTCTTCGTAGCTAGACGCTATCCACCTCTCGAAAAGCTAGATGAAATCAAAATCGTCTCCGTCAGCGTGGTAACAGCGTTAGCGTAGGCAAGGATCCTCACATGCTAAATTGTTATATTGTTAAACCGCAAGCCCTGTCTTATACCGGCGGCTGAAATCAGATCTCTGATGCATTGTCTAAAACAAAAATCATTATATCGGCCTGACGATATATACCTTATAAATTGATATTTTGCGATGCATCGATTCATCGCCCAGTCCTCAATGCAAGATAATTTTAAATATTATTATTTTTAAGATAAGATTATTTAATATAGTGCAGATAGTGATAAAAATATTAAGCTATTTCATTTCTTCTAAAGGTATGTCTAAGACTTAATAAAAGTTTATCAGTTTTAATCAGGGTTGGCAAGTTTTAGACAAGACTGTTTCATCTGGTTTTACCGATGGTTTAATCAATTTTGTTTAAAGGGTTTCTTTACATAGTTTTTGACAAATGGCAAAAACCTAAAATTTTAGCGCAAGGATAATTATTAGCCATTATAAATAAAAAGTGCTTATACATAAACATACATATAAAATTGTGAAAATAAAATGATCAATCAATTATATTCTTGAAAAATTTCATATTATACTCTTTTTGTTTGACAATCACTGTCAAAACCCCAAATTTTGGTGAAGAAAGTACTAAATAATTATAAATAAAAATTTGTAAAATTAAAATTTATCCAATCTGCTAATTTGTTAAATAACTGAAAATAAAAATACAAAAACAAACAGCTTAATAAGAAAACACAACAATCAGCTTATTCATTAAATATAAAATCAATTTTAATTTACTCCTCTTTCCCTAAAGCATTAAATTAAAAAAAAAAAAAAAAAAATTTTAAGTCCTCTGTACTCCATTTTTCTAAAAATTTGAAACTATTCTTTTGACTGATGCTGAGTTGCACAGTCTAGAAAATAAATATACTAAAGCTATTATAGCATAATAAAATAACATGTAACTAGGAAATTTATTCTAATAGCTGTACTAAATATTAATAGTAATTTAATTAAATCATTGAATCATCAGTTAAACATTTATATTTTTTATAAATTATAATTAGTTTACTAATCGATGAACTTATTACACATTATTATAATTTACATAAAGTCATTAATATTGGAAATATTCATGTACATATTTCTAGAAAATTTTAGAAATTCAGACTATCTTCTTATTTGAAATTTAAAAAAAAAAAATAGGCAACAAGCGTGAAAGACATTCAATTGCAAAATAACGGTTAACAATCTTGGTAACTGGAAACAAAAGCCATCTCAAATAATATTTAAGTAATTACTAAATATTTCTTCTACAGCACTATTGATTTCAAAAATTAAAAATAAACAATGTAGTTGCTTTTATTATTGACTTGCCACACAGAAAAAAAAAAGAGAGACTGTTTATAAAGTTTATTTCCGAAGAATTTTATGAAATATATCTGGAGGGAATGTTCCGTTTTGTACATGTTACAATAATGTGTGGAGATCTATGTAGAGAAATTACCACAATATTTGCTCAGAAAAATTAACCGCTGCAAGACTGCAAGTCTAATTTTAATAGCTCAATTAAATTAACTGGTCCTAATAAGTAAGATGGTTTCAAAAAATAAGGAAAAGTAGGAAATAACGAGAATTTTTCTTAAAAATAGAAACGTTTGTCCTAAGACATTCAATAATTTTTTGCCATTTTGTTCAATTTACGAGCTACACTTTTTTCACTCTATGTAAGAATAAAAATAAACTCAAATAACAAATAACTAATCTATTCTTTACACATTTTTTATATTAATTGCTACTTAGGAATGTTCATATAATGAAGTTTTATATAAAAATAATTAGACAAGTAAAGAAAAATCTAGATACTGAATTTAACATTAAAATAATTACTTTTATTTACCATAAATATTTTTTGCAATAAAAAAATTAAGACAGAAAATTCACCTGTTGCTTTGAAAAATTTTTTACATGGAAGTCAAAATCTTCATCAGTAGTCCTGTCTGCTTTTCCAAAATTCTGTAAGAGCTAAAAAATAGAAATAATAACATTTAGCGATTATATTTTACTTTAGAAATTATGAATCATTAGGACCCAGGGCCTTCAAATTCTTGAGTACCTCTTTGCTAAAAAAGAGTGCCTATTTAAGGTATAAATTATTCTAAATTTTTACAAATAACAAAAGTAGGCAAAAAAAAAAACAATTAGAAAGGAAGCTAAAAGGTAGTTTCTAAAATGGAAAAAACATAAAATTTTCTGTGATATTGAGCAGTGATTGATACGTTTATTACTGGAATACCTAAGCAAGTAGACAACCAAAATCACCCAGATTGCCTGAGAAACTAGTTTAAAATTCTTCCCCCTTTCTAAACATGATGCCCAATAGGAGAGATGTGGCAGACACAATCCCTGAAGACAATTTATGAAAGAAGATACTATAAGGAACTTGTCAAAAGATAGTGTGGTTTTTTTTTCCTTTGCTTTTTATCCTGACTGTGCTTCAATAAACAAAAAATGAAAAGTAGAAAATATAATTATTAGATCATATTATTAATATGGACATTCCTATAATGCAGGCTCCATAGTGAAACATTGGTTACTCTAACAAAAAAACTTTTTTTAATTAAACAGTAAAATAAAAAATAATATTCAAAATGGCACCTTATTTTCATTTACACAGTAGTATAAGTAGCAAGCATAATATAACAGGGGTCTGTCGAGATATTTCGTGAAAGGTCCTGTTCTTGTAAAACTATGAAAAAACTACTCATAATTTGTGAATATTAAATAAGAGTTAAGTCACATTCATTCAACCAGGGTCCTGCTTTTGTAAATTTGTGCAGATAGGGTCCTATTATTGCAAAAATTGCTAAAAACCTTTTCACTGAACAATTGCTGCTACTAAATTAGAGATGCAACATACAAATATTTGGGATTTAGCCTATACTGCTTAACACAAAATATTCATTTCGGACGCATAATGGAAACAAAATCACTCACATTTTTAATAATTTCAATTAACATATTTTAAATAACACAACTTAGTTATGCATCACTTTTAATGTGTTACGGCATTAAGTAAATTTAAAAAATTCTTACATTTATAATATTTTATTTTAAAAAATTGCCGGAAATTAATTTTTATTTACAACATATTCTATTAATTATTTTATGAATAAATATAAATTGATCAATTATTTATTTACAAAAAAATATATTGTTTAACATCAATAAGAATGTGCACACGATGTTTGTAAAAGTAGAAATATTATCTTAGAATACTACAGTTGGAATTTAAACTTAGGGAAACAAAACAATAATGAAGATAAACAAATTTGTGAAGAATCCGATTAAAAGATAAATTATTTTGTGAAGGGTCCGGTTTAGCGAAAAGATATTTTGTGAAGATTCCATTAACGGACCCAAAATCCTTCGATACAGACCCCTGAATGCGCCGAATAATTTAAAGAATATAATTTAAATTAAAGAATATAATTAAAGAATAATTAAGGAATACAATTTAAGGAATAAATAATTTAAAAAATATAGTTTAAAGATCCCAGTTATAATAAGCTCCCTTAGGACAAAAGTCCCGCAGTGGACTAATCGTTAAGACACGGTTCCCAGCAGATCACCGAAGTCAAGCATCACTGGCTACGGTCAGTGTGCGGGTGGGTGACCACTTGGATCAGTCTGCGTAGGGACCGAGGGTGTGCGGTATTGGTCCTCGTTAAACTGTGCTACCGTAAAGTGCTCGACTTTGAGCGCAGGTCGTCGGGCTATTGAAGCGGGGGCGCCATCCCCTCTGCAGAGGATCAAAATTGTGATGGCATGTCTTCGGATCATCCTCCGGGATGTCTCCCAGACCGTCGCCAATAGCCCATTGTGCAGCTCTAGTGCGACGTAAATTAACAACAACAACAGACCCCTGAATAATAATATATAAAACAGAGTATTTGCTAAAATAGTCTTAAAATATAACAGAGCATGAAATTGGTAATGGTCTAGACCATTACCAATTACCATAATACAGATATATTATTTTAAGAATTTTCAAAGACATGACCTAACTGTTAATTTACTCTCATTAATTTACTTTAAATATATAATTTTACAGACGAGCAACAATATGTAAACACCTAAAAATTATACATCACATAAGAGTTTAAGGAAAGAACCAGGTGACTTTTTAGTAAACTTGAGTAAAAAGGTTCAAAGATTAGTCATTCTTCTTTCTTGTTGCTTTGCTCAATCTTTATATTTTTAGAATATTTGTGTAGACATAACTAATGAAATTTTTTTGGGCTAAATTTATTTGACCCTAACTCTTTTTTAAAGAAGGATTTTAATTGACTTTGTGCTTATCACCTGCTTGTTTTCATGGAAGATTCTTGATATTTTTCAACGAATATAATTTTAATAAAAAGCTTAATTTCATTTTCTAAATAAAATTTTATCAACCTCAATTCGAAACAAACTGGTTTAATAACTGGTCAAACTGGAAACAATCAAGTTTAATCTAGCACAAGCTTAACATTCGCAGAGTAGAGTAGAATTTTGAGATACATTTATTTCAAATAACAATAAATGTATTATTTTTAAATATCTGTGTAAAAATGTTTGTCCACAAAAATACTATATTAAACAGAATTAGCATTTCATCCGGTGAAACCTAATTTTTTAGGGCAAAGGAATAAATAGGAAAAAATGAAAGAAAATGGAATGAATTAAAAATGACTAATACAGTTGATTTACATTAAGTTTTCAGGGTGCTAAGCCAAACTTTTCAACATAAAATAAGCACTTTTCAAGCAATCAAAAAAATATTTTTAAGCACTTTTCAAGCGCTCAAAAAATATTTTTAAGCACTTTAAAAATATCATAATTAGGAAAGATTGGCAAATTTTGACAATTGGCGGTTTTATCCAGTTTTAACAGTCATGTCAACAACAAAAAAACCATTTGATAGTTTTTAAAAATTGTCAAAAACTCAAAATTTTGGCCTAAGGATAATCATTAGCTATTATAAATATGCAATATTTTAAAATTAACATACATGTAAAATTACAAGTGATCCGTTCATCATGTTCTTGAATTATTTTAACAAAAAACTCTGTTTCGAAAATTACTGTCAAAAACCCTAATTTTGGTGTAGAAAATATTAAATAATTATAAATAAAAATGTGTCAAATTGCTAATGATCAGCTATCAGGGTTGCTACAGTAAAAAATGAACAAAAATAGTTGCTTTTAGTAGCCTCAAGCATGAAAATAGTTGCCTAAAACTATGAAAATAGTTGCCTGAATAGGAACAAAAATTTATCAAAAATAATAGCCAAATAACTAAAATTATAGCTTAATTGTCAAATACTATTATTAGAACTGGCTGATGTCAGAAATTTTAAATCGTGATACATCGTCAGTTAGACATCACGATATAGTAATGTATCGCAACTTAGCATATGTTCAAAAATTACCTATGGGAAATCTTTATATCAATCAAAAATAAATAAAAAGGAATAAATCTATTACAAAAGAAAATATTAATTCTAAACATATTCTACTATGACATCAATATCATTGCTTAATTTTTTCAATTAAATTAATATAGAAGTTCAAGTAAAAGCAAACCCAAGCTTTATTTCATTTTTCTTAAATTAAAAATGATTTAAGATTTATTGGTTTAAAAATAATAATACTGTAACAAATTATTTTACGTACATGCATTAAAAATTAAAAGAAGGAAAAAAAGGGAAGTGGAAAACAAACCAAAGAAATATTGACTTTAGGAAGAAAAAAAATTTTTTTATTATTTGTTGAAAAAAAACATGCTTTTGAAACATCATTAGACCCTTTTTTATTTACTTATTTAAAATAATNGGAAGTGGAAAACAAACCAAAGAAATATTGACTTTAGGAAGAAAAAAATTTTTGTTATTATTTGTTGAAAAAAAACATGCTTTTGAAACATCATTAGACCCTTTTTTATTTACTTATTTAAAATAATAAGAAGTAGTATTAACTAATGGTCAAATTCTGTACTTAATAAATGTACAAATATTTTTACTTGTTTATTATTATTTTAATTTTTGAAAATAAAATCAACTAAAGATCTATTTGTTTAAAAATGATACTGACTATCTAACAAATTATAAAACAAACAAGTATTGAAAGAATTTTAGTAAAAATTTTAAAAAAATACTTTAAGTACTAATGTAAAATTATTAGAAACCTCAAAACATTACTAAACTTTTTATTTAATTTTTAAAAAAAATTTGTTTTAACTAATAGCCAAATTTTTTTAAAACTTTGTTTTCATTTTCTCAAAAATAAAAGCAAATTAAATAAAGGTAAGCTTTGTTTTAATTTTTTTATAATTAAAAACGACTGAGCATTTATTGGTTGAAAAACAATCAAATTATTATACTTACCTACATTTGATAAATTTAAAAAAACTAACTTTTTATAACAAAGTTAAATACAAAATACCCCTATTAAATTGTATCGCTTAAAATAAAAAACAATAATTGAAAAAAATCAATGAGTTGATCTATTAAGTTCAGAACAAAAATTTAAGATAACAGCGATTGTGCAGCAATCGCAGAGTAACAGTAGGTCTACTAAACATAATTGACAAGAATCGTCAAACCCAGACAGAAAAAAAATGGTATGAAATAATGCAGAACGAAACGATCGCTGCAAAAGTCTCACTGAAAATAATTTACAAGAAACCAGACAATTATTTCTGACGAAATAAAATGCACAACGATCGCAAAATGACTTAAGTCCCATTGAAAATAATCTTCAAAATACGCAAAATCCCAAAGACAAAAATGGACATAAAAAAACTATGCATTGCGTTCCATATTACAACGCTGATCCTCGCACGAAACCAGGAGTTCTGATTCAATTCGCTCTTCGTCATTCAAAATCACGAAACTAACATCACCTAAATAGCAAAACGCTATCTACATCTCTGCAGCTAGACGAAATCAAAATCGATTTCGTCAGTGTGGTAACAGCGTTAGC